AAAATTTAAATGAATACAAAAATAATTCTATAAATGTGTGTATGTATTTAGCTGTAGATACATCTGTGTCACATGATAATTTGGTAAACACTATATTTAGCCTGTTTGTTCTTTGTTTGGCTGGTATTAGTTTTGCATTTATAAAATGGTCAGTTTTATCATATCAATAATTTAGCACATATTGAAAAAAAGCAGTTCATCAAAAAAGAAATATTTGAATTGGAAGACATTTTTGTTTGCCACTGTACCGTTAGGTCGGCCTTAATGCAGTCTGTTCAGAAGAGTCATCTAGCATTTGTTTTTGTTGATTTGATGCTGTCTGAGGCCTGCGAGTGTTTTGCAAGATCAAACACATCCAGATTCGAGGAGACATGCGTGGATCCAGCTCCTTTTAAACAGAAAGAGAAGAGAGAATGCTCAATACAGCTTTTATGTGTTTTTTCCCTATCACATTCTACTGAGAAATAATTTCTGCATCTGGTATGCTTTTATTCCAAGCTTCCTTGTAAATAAATGTGTTCCTTGCAACTCGAACATTGACCTTGGCTTTATAAACAGCATGATTTTCAAGTTGAGCTACAGGGAATACACAAAAGTGTGCTTATGATGCAAATATCTACAAATCACCCTCATTATATAACAGAGAGCTAGCTCTGATTTAATGGTGCTCGGAGCAGTTTCTAGTTTTAAAAGTAGAGCTTCTAGTTCTTATTTTTGATGTTTCTCCTTTGATGCCTGTTTTTGCACTTCACAGTGTTGTCAGTGATGCACAACATTTGGCAAACCGCTTTGTGTTTCTGTTGTAGCCGCTGCTGGCTGTTTAGTGTATATTGCATGTGGTGTGTTTGCTTCAGTGTGCGCCGGCTCTCACATCCACAGAGCTGCTGGCATCTGGCACGTATGGCACAGGACAGAGTGTGTGTTGCCATGGCGATGATGGAAAAATTGAATTTGTGCCTGCCGCACCCTCAACCAGGCCGTTTCCAGGCGATTTGTATCAGCTCGACTAAAAGAGCTCTGTCGAGCAGGAAAGAGCCTTTAAAAGCGTCTCCTTCATGACTGAATCACTTGAATGCATCATTGTGACTCAAAATCACTAACATGTCATGGAAGATGTGGCAGCCAACCACCCTGCCAGGCCAAGTTTTCCAGTGCAAGTCAGAGTCAAGTTTACATTTACAGTTGCTTTAGTTTATAAGACCTTATGAGACCATTTATGATTGTGGGATTGAGAAGAGGGACTTCATTGAGGTATAACAAAATACATTATTTCATCTTGGACATTGAGAAATGAAGTTCTGTTGTGTGGCCAATTCCTGTCGGACAGGGTTTTAGACCTACTGTGCACGCGCTGCCTAACAGGTTGAAGAACAGGTGTTTCGGTGCCCATCTGCATGATTATATTATGATAGCAAACACGTCGCTGTTTCCTGAGCAGCTGTTATTGTGCTCTGTGAGGGGGATGATCATTTGTAGTTCTGTTGAAGTCTGCCACTGGTTTGATGAAGGAGAGGAACATTGTGAATTGTTTTGTTTGCTGGCAGAAGGTAGAGTATAATAACTTGCACTAAGAAATAGAGCCAGAGCCGGTATTATCGGCCGGTATTTGGCATTTTCCAAACTATCCGTATTGGCAGTTATAATGGCCAATAAATGAATATTTCAAAAATAAAATAAAAATGGACGAAATACGCTTAAACCATGTCATGAGTGTTGGAGTTGTATAGTTTGTCCACCAGAGGGCACTTTATACAGTCCCTGTTAACCACAAAGCTAGCTAATGCCACTATCATTAATTCAGTTAACATTAATGAGCTTTGCTTCCTCTGTTCTGTTGTGACAATAAAAGAAACAAGTTTCTTTTTAAAATGCATTATCATATTATTTTAGTTAAAACTCATACATAACTACACATAACTAATGTTAGGGAAATCTGTTAATGTTTTGTTGCGCGTTTCTGAAAAAAAATATCGGCCGATATATCGGATTTTAAAACCAATTAATATTTGTATCGATGTCGGCCTTCAAAATCCTTTATCGGTCGGGCTCTACTAAGAAATCTATACGTTTAAGGGTGCCATGTTTTATACTTCTGTAGCATTTTATATAGGTCCATTATTATTCAAGCACTGTGTGAAAATATACCATCATTCACTATTACCTACTGTACATGAGTCCACTAATATAGTTCATTTGAGGGAGTGAATGAAAACAAGCGAGTGAATTCAGACACAGCCTCTTTTGCATAATTTGTGCTTGCGGTTTAATAATTATTTGAAACTTAAGATACTTGCAGGTCTTCTAGTAAATAAAAGATTTCTCTTAAACTCTGTCATGGAAACTAATATGTATAAAGTGTAATTAATCTTTAATAATCAATTAAAAAGGAATTTATACCTGTATGATATTACGCGTAGCCACATTGGATCAGCGGTTTAGAAAATGCAGATATGGAGGATTCAGCTGCAAGCGCCATCTTCTGGTCAGACGTAGGAATTCATTCAGCGTGCAACTCACATTGCATTGTGGGTATTCCCTAGCCAATCGTACACACATTATTGTAGTGCATTGAATAAGTGAACTCGATAACATCCACTATGGTTTCAGACACCACTATAAATGGCGTAAATAGGGCAAATAGTGCCCTATTTAAGGGTATATGGGCGATTTCCGATATAGTCAGGGTTAACGGTATTTTTGCTACTGCTTACCTTTGAAAATAATAATAATCAGCTTCACTATTGCATGAACTGTCATCAAGCCAGACCAAGATGCTGACTATTAATTGACATTTAAATATCAGTACTTAGAGTTTTATTGCACCTTTAACCAGGCATGTTACTTCAAAATGGTGAAATTTGACATTGTTTTGAATCCTTTCTCAGCTTAATATGTAATAATAGCTTAATATACAGACAAAAGTAATTAAGCCATTAATTGAAGGTTGATTACCCCAACAAGTGTAAACACTGTTTCTCTGTGGCCCCATTAAAACATTGCTCTGTTTGTTTGACCAGCCCGACAACAGCAACTATGGCTCAACCAATTGTGCGATTTTGGGGCGGGGCCATCATGTCTTTCTGACCAATGACAAGAGCATGGTTCTTTAGGAACAAGATTCGAATTTTTCAACATCATGTTATTGTATTCCATGATATGATCAGTAAGAAATAGTATTATATTTCAAGCAAGATTTTCTTCATTTAATCCACACAAGAAAAAAAATACAGATTTTTTTTTTTTCCTGACCTTATGGGTTTTGATTTTAAAGTTGTGCTCTTCTCCTCATGTCAACCGCTCTGTTGAGGCATCAGTTATTCCTCTGGAAGACTGTGTGAGTTACAGCGTTATCATGTTCTATTAATAAATGATTCATGTTGTGTAGTTTTGATGCAAGTGACATTTTGAACGTCTGGATGCGTGTGGTGTGTTTTAATGCGATGAGTGTTCATTTCACGCTGACATTTTAGGTACACTTCAAAGCTGAATACAGTATATGTTGTTATTGGTGTTATGTTTTTAATATTCAAGCACTGCTTTTGCTTTATGCCACACTTAACACAGACTTTCAATTTCTCATTTTACTTAGATCTCTCTCTCATACACACAAGCGTCCCAGGCCTTTGAATCTCCTCCGGTGCTCATTAGTGGCTGACACTTGAAAGTTTCGACAATATTTCAATATTTATCGGTTTTACGTAACTGAGCTGCAGTTGAGGGCAGAAACATGAAACGGCAGCAGACAGAGCAAATCTCCAGGGCTCGAGCACAATTCTCAGCCTCTCACTTGTGCTTGAAAAAAGGTCTGCCAACATACTGGAACATTAGATAAAAGCATAATGGCGTAGCGATATTGGGGTATCTGAGGTAGCTGTGGGTCACTAGCGAGGACAATATGGGTCTTTTTAAGGGTTTTAAATGCCATTATGTATGCAATATTATTGTATCCTCAGTGATAAATTCCATTGATGATTTAGTTCTGTCAACATCATTGTCACTCATTTTTAGACAATAACAATTGCTCACCCTCATGTCGTTCTAAACATGTACGTATGTCTTACTTTCTTCTGTGGAGCAGTAAAATATTGAAAATGTCTGTTTTATTTGCCCATACAGTGAAAGTTAGTAGTGTCCAGTGTTGTTTTGGACCTCATTGACTTTCATGGTATTTAAACTCTTTAAAAGAGCAATATCATTTGTATATTTAGTGATAAATACCGGTTATGTCCACATTATTTTCATTTATAAGCAGCAGTTCATCACTAAATGTGATACTTAAAGGGATAGTTCACTCGAAAATTAAAATTCTGTCATTTTTTCTTCTTTTGTGGAACAGAAAAAGATTGAAATGGGTCTCAGCGTTGTTTTGACCCTATTGATTTTCATTGAATGTGGACAATGGCATACAATTTTCAACTAACTATTTTGGACACATAAATCTTAGTTTTGCATATGGGTTTATTTCAGTTGCTGTCAGTATTTTAGTCTGTGTGTGTACGTAAAAACTCAAAAACCTCCCATAAAGGTCATTGTTCATGTTGTCAAGGTTGTGAGACATAAAGACAAACCCCCAAAGATGCAGCAGATCAAAGTCTCATCATGGTTGAACCTATTTAGGTCAATCTAGACGCTTGTCACTTTTACATCAGACAGTTAACGTGACCAAAGTGATGCTGCAGGGAAAAACAGATCGACTAGAGAAAAGAAACGAGAGAGTGAGAAGAGTAGGGTGGGTCAGATGGAGACACCGAAGCAATGAAAGAGAGCAAGAGAGAGGGGAGGGAAAGCTTTTTCCCGTTGCTTTTGAGTGGGGCATGTTTTCATCCAGTCGCAGTTGAAATTCGTCCACATTCACTCGGGATCAAGACCAGCCACACCTCTGTCCATCTCCCTTCTTCCGTCTCTCGTCCTCTTCAGTCGTTCCATGTTGGAAATTGATTTGTTTTTCATTCCTCGAGTCTCGATGTTGCTCCTATACAACCGTTTCCTCTCTCTCCTAGAATCGATCTATCGCCGTGGAGCTAGACGATGGAGGAAGCTGTACCGGGTGAACGGACACCTCTTCCAGGCCAAGCGCTTTAACAGGGTGAGTTAAAGTCTCTAGTTCTCTCCAGCTTGAATGATGACATATGATTGGATTCTTAATGTGTTTAACCCACTTTCTTCAGATTTATGGTCTGTTTGCGGGATGAGTGCATTTCATGATAGATCTTGTTTATGGCAAATTGCAAACTCATTTTTTAGGGTTTTTAGAGTTGTTTATGTTTGAGAGCTTCATAAATAACTGTTGTGGATGTCGTACACTTGAAAATGGGCATGTAGACTGTTGAGATAAGTGTCTGCAGCTGCAGTAAGCAACAACTGCAGATGAGTTTTTAAAAACAATCTGTGAAGCTATTTTTTTAAATTATAATAGAAGTCCTCAACTGTAATTTTTTTAATTAATACTTGTATTCAGCGTAGATGCATTCATTTGGTCAAAAGTGACAGTAAAGATATTTACTATAATGTTATAGTAATGTTATAATGTTACAGAAGAATTATATTCAAAAAAATATTGTTCTTTTAAACTTTCAATCAAAGAATCCTGAAAAAACATTAAGCAGCGCAACTGTTTTCAACATTGATAATAATAAGGAATACTACAGTACGTGAGCACCAAATCAGCATATTGGAATAATTCCTTAAGGATCATGTGACTCTGAGTTCAGCTTTGCAGGCGCAAGGTATACTAAAGAGAAAAACACTTATTTTAAATTGTAATACAATTGTATAAAATGTTGTTGTTTCTAACGTAGCCTACATAAGAGCTGAACATAAGAGACTCATTGTTAAAGGACAATTCTGGCGCAAAATTTTGGTCTAATAAAACATTGGTACCTAGTCGACCGTTCTCTGAGATTTGTAATAATGAGGGTCCCTAAATACAAAACGAAGCATTGAGAACTTTGTAAGTGTACAGACGGTTTAATAAGAAGATACTTTATAAAGACAGTACACTTCGTGTGTCCAAGTCGAACCACGAACGATGTGCCAAGTAGGGTTGGGTATCGAGAATCGAGTATCGATTGGAACCGGGACTAACTTTTCGTTTTTCCCGGAATCGTTCAAAAGTTAAAATTTCGATTCCTAGTTTCGATATTCACAGTCCGCCGACCGGAAGAAGAAACCGCTGAACAACACCAACGAAGAAGAGTCTACCGGAAGTGTTGGCATAACCGCGCGAGTCGAACATGAGTAGCTTACGTCGGCGGTCCAAAGTGTGGCTTCACTTTTCTAAAAATAACGAAATCTCGGCAAAATGCAAAATTTGTGACTAAAGGAGTATTTGTGACAGAAGGAGTATTTCCTTCAGAAAGACCGTTGGTTAGCAAGGTTAGCTAAACTTTTTTGACCCTGCCTCTTAAAAGAATCGGAATCGAGAATCGTTAGGAACCGGAATCGAAACAAGGAATCGGAATCGGAATCAGAATCGTTCAAATTCAAGCGATACCCAACCCTAGTGCCAAGTAAGCTGAACTGTACGAAGTTCCGCGAACTTCTGAACTGTATGAACGGCGTTCGAGGTTGATTTTGCGCAGGAGTTCTCCTCTAATTATTTTATTTGTAATAATAGCAAATAAATTCTTCATTGTCTAACCCTTCTCTTTAAATGACTTTTTTTGTTCCTGAATAAATGATTGAATGATTAAGTAGCCCTAATAGCAACTGTTAGCATTTAGCTAACTGTTAGCACAGTTGTAGTGACTGTGTTGATGAATATCTACAGCTGTTACAAATCTGTAGATTTACTAGTGACTGTTGATAAGTAGGTGTACAGTAGTAGCAACTGTTAGCATATTAAACTGTGTTTGGTTTTAGCCCCAGTCCTCCCACTCCAACCCCAATCTAGTGCTTGAGTGAATTGTTTATACTGACTGATAGAAAGCCGATAGGAAGGGAGAGATCGACCGAGGCTCTTGAGTGTGATGTCTCTTTTATGCAGCGATGCCCTGCCTTTAATCAGATATCGTCTCTTGAGGGTTTGTTATGTTAATGCAGACATCTTCCTGCAGTAGTCTTCATTCTGCTACTGAGCAGAACATGTGCCAGTCAAAGACGAACACCAAAAAAACACAAGAGAGAGAGTGATAGAAGAGAGAGAGGGAGGAACGAAGACAAGGGGAGAGACATTGTTCATTTTCGCTTATCTTTGCGAACATTGAAATGTCTCTTTTCTTGGAGATGTTTCAATGGCCCTTGAATGGCAGATAGAGAGAGGATAAGAAGAAAACAGGAAGAGAAAGAGGCGTAGAGAGACACATGATGAGCTCAGTGCCCTCGGAAAACTCCCTCTCGCCACAAGCAGGTGTGTGTCATGGTACTGTGAAATTCGTTACTCTTCTCATTTCTCCTTAAAGGATTAGTTCACTTTTGAAAAAACTTTTGCTGATAATTTACTCACCCCCATGTCATCCAAGATGTCCATGTCTTTCTTTCCTCAGTCGAAAAGAAATTTAGGTTTTTGATGAAAACATTCCAGGATTTTTCTCCATATGATGGACTTCAATGGGAACCAGATGGTTCAAGTATCAAAAGACGGTTAATAACTGTTTCAGATGCAGCTTCAAATGTCTTTAAACGACACCAGACGATGAATAAGGGTCTTATCATGCAAAACGATCGGTTATTTCAAAACTTATTCCAAAAATGTAACTTTTCTAAGGACAAATACTAGCCTTGCTATATTCTCTGAGGCGCGTTTGTAACGTCACGTAATACGTAATTACGTTCAAAAGGTCACGGGCGACGTAGCCGGAAGTACAGAATCAAAATTGTCCGACATCGTTGTTTTTCCTTTTAATTCCTTTTTTTGTAAACGGTGTTTGAGTTAGTTTGCACGTTCAACCTATGCGTTCAACTTGTAAACACTGACTCTGTACTTTCGGCTACGTCGCCCGTGACCTTTTGAACGTAATTACGTAATACGTGACGTTGCAAACGCACCTCACAGAATAGAGCAAGGCTAGCATTTGTCCTTATAAAAGTTACATTTTTGGAATAAGTTTTGAAATAACCGATCGTTTCGCATGATAAGACCCTTATTCATCGTCTGATATCGTTTAAAGACATTTAAAGCTGCATCTGAAACAGTTTTTAAACGTCTTTTGATACTTGAACCATCCGGTTCCCATTGAAGTCCATTATATGGAGAAAAATCCTGGAATGTTTTCATCAAAAACCTAAATTTCTTTTCGACTGAGGAAAGAAAGACATGGACATCTTGGATGACATGGGGGTGAGTAAATTATCAGCAAAAGTTTTTTCAAAAGTGAACTAATCCTTTAACAAGGTTAAACGACTATTTCTTTTCTTCCTTGTACGCCAGAACGAGACTTCCTTATAGATTTCCACGACGCATGCGCGAGAATTGCGATCTGAAGTAGTGTAAGCTGGTGTAAGCAGATTGCAAATCTCGCGCATGCGTCGTGGAAATCTAAGGAAGTCTCGTTCTGGCCTACAAGGAAGAAAAGAAATAGTCGAATAAACTCGTTATTTTTGTTTGTTTTTTCGCACAAAAAGTATTCTCGTCGCTTGATAAACATATAGTTGAGCCACGGTAGTCACTTGGGATATTTAAACATTTTCTTCATTGACTTTCTGGGCCGTCAAGAGGCAGTCCCTTAGGAGCCAATGTGGTAGTTATACAGCTCTCAAATTTAATCAAAAATATCTTCATTTGTGTTCCGAAGACGAACGAAGGTCTTACGGGGTTGGTACAGCATGGGGGTGAGTAATTAATGACTTAATTTTCATTTTTGGGTGAACTAACCCTTTAACTGCGGGATGACATCATCAAGATCCGCAAAATCATGTCTAGGGTAGAGTCAAATTTTTCAGATTTCCTGAAAAGCTCTAATGTCAGACTGGCTAATGGAGACATCCATTTGAGTCAGTGCAGTCTCATCACAAGACGTCTGAAGTCTTGGGGCGTCTTTTGACCATACGTCAACATCCGCCTTTTTAGGGTACCCTTAAACGTCGGTTAGATGACGATATCTGATCCTAACCCTACCCCAGACCTAAACCTACCCCTAAACCTACCCCGTCACCTAACCAACGTTAAAGGTAAAGCGTCAGTTGTATGACGGCCCGGGGTTGTCATCTAACCGACGTTTAAGGGTACCCTAAAATGGCGGATGTTGACGTATGGTCAAAAGACGTCCCAAGACGTCAGTTATATGACTTCTTGGGATGAGACTGTGTTATTTGAGTCCATAATTGTAAAACACTTTTAAACAATGGTGGCTGTTTAAAGAGACACTGCATCATTTCTGCGCTATTAGCGACACCAAACAGAATTACAAAAACATTGTTCCGAACAGCATACTATATGTATACTGTGTGCACATTTTCTGTATGAATTGAATATACGTCTTCTTTAAATCCTGAATTGATCAAATTATTTGATTTATATTTTAGTATTTTTACATAACATTATAAAAATAATGTTCTGAATGTTTTTATTATGTTTTATATTTGAATTTGATATCAGATTTGTTTATATAGACATTTTTACAAAAAATATATATATATATAATTATCTGAAATTATAATACATTTAAAATTTGCCAAAAAGCATATTGCATGGAATACTGTATCCCGCAATGCAATGCGTTCAGACCTTCCCTTTCCAGCGAGAAGCATCTATTGTTAATATCTATTTTGGAATCATTTGATCAAATTTTCTTATTTGATTAACATTATATAAATAAACATTATATAAAAATAAAATTAGTGTTATATTTTTTTCCTTATTCAATATCCGAATAATATTTGATAACATGTGATTGTTTAATATGCATTTACAAAAATATAAGTTGACAACTAGATGCATTGCCAACCACATGCAATGTAAAGTCTTCTGACAGTAATGTAGCATACTAAAATTTGAATAATTTAACGTTGCATGATACCTATTTCATTTATATATTTTTTTAACTTCCTGTAGGCGCATCTCTCTCTCTCGTTCTCTGAGAACACATTCTGCCCTCCTGCTACTTTTTCACTCATTCTCCATAGAAACAAGGGACAGAGCAGAAGTAGGTCATGTTTTTCCCTCTCATGTCTGTCCTTCTCTTAAGGATCTGACTCGTTCCGTCCCTCCCTCCCATCAGCACCTCTGGACCTATCTTTGTCTCTTAATTTGAAGCTCCCTTTGGACAGACAGGACATTTGAAATCTGTAACAAATCAATTTAAAGGCTGTATAATAGATTGAGTTTTACCCATTACTTTTTTCTCTCACGGTTTCCATGTGCTTTTAATCTATCATATGTGTGACAGACTAATCAAGTCACATCCTTCTCACAAACAAAACAGATGCATTTCAAAGCCTCTTGAGACTTCTAGAAGTTTATTTTCCTGTAATGTAGCGGAACGACACAGGACTCGTGCAGTTTACTGAGATTATTTCCGCTGGTCCGTGTTGTTTTGGCTCTTTGATCGCGTGTGTTGTGTCTGAAAATGAAATGAGAAGGAGATTTCCCCTTAAAATTGAGTCTGTAGTTCACAGAGATTAATTTATGATGTCATAAATAGGGAAATTGGCATCTGTTGCCGAGGCGATGAAGGTGGCAGGTGTGGTGTATCAGATAGAGCGTAATTAGGCATCGGGTACGCGTAATAAAAGAAACAGCCCCTAAAACTAAGCAAACTGCATTTGAGCGGTTACAGAAATGGAGATATGGTCGTAATTCTTCACATCTAGTGTTTTTGTAGCATTTTTTATTTTTTATTTTTCGTTTTTAAGAGAGGTTTGCTCATGCTACGAAAGACCGACCTTGTCTGAACTCTGCTGTTAGCATGTCCTTCCTTAACAGGTAAGAAAACAAAGTGCCGACTTCAAATGACTAGCATTAAGTGATGGATATTGACATGCACAAACTCTAGACAGTCATAGCACTGTTTTGATGGTAAGTGTTTTAATAGTGTGTGTGTGTGGTAATGCGCTGAGATCATTTCCAGGCACTTCACTCATCTCGGCTCTTCTGAGGGGGATGGTCGATAAAATCTGAGCCTGGGTTTCTCTCATCTCTTGACCTGTATTTTCAACACCGTTGGCAGAGATAACAAACACTTAACACCTTAAGTATCCTAAGCTGTATTCTACATTTAATATAAATGTAAAGAGAAGCAGATATTCTTCAAACTTGAGTCCGTATTCATAGAGATTATTTTATGATGCCGTAAAAAAAGCACAAGTGGCATATGTTGCCGTTTGTGTGAATATATAAATATTAGGAGCTAACTATCAAATGTATACCAACAAGTTCAGTGTTCAGTCCCTACATTAGTTTAAGGCATGTTCTGCTTCATTGGACAGGTTGTACTTTTTGCCTCCATTGGATTCTATGTGTGGTCGTTTAAGGGATGGTGGCCAAAATCCCAATCAAATTAACTTCATGGGGCACATCGTAAATGGAAATCCATTTCATCCAGCGCTCTGAAATCCATCCCGGTTGAATCATTTGTAAGGCATCTCGGGTGAATCCTCCTGATGAGTCTGATCCAGCTCTGCTGTGCTGTAAGGATGCCGTGGAGCGTTTGCCAAGTCGTGAGGGAACAGAATGAAATCACACCCTGTGTCTTTCTCCCATGCTTTTTCTCATCCTTACATTTTTTTTTCCTGCTAAAGCAGTTACATGGTGTCCTCCTATGTGAGCAAAAATACAATTTTTACTGCTTGTGCTTGTTTTCTATCACTGCTTTTCTGAGGATTTTTACTTGCTCTGTGCCAGTTCTGCCAAGCATGCTTTGCGTTCCTTTCAAACTTGAACTCAGGTTGATGAGCCCCAGTTCATTTGTTTTGAGATTTGAGCATATATCTGAGATTTTGATTAGTGTGTATGTGTGTGATTAGAGTGTGTATGCTATCTAAGTGGGCTTTTTTGGGCCGATAGAGCAGCGCTCTTATGCATGCGGACGATTCACAGATGATGTCACTCTGAAGAGCCTCTGGTCCTTGTAATTATTGTCAGTGTCCCACTTATGGCTCAGGAGTGTGTGTGTGTGTGTTTTAGAAACTGCTAAATGACATGGATGACTTTGAATTAGAAAAGAGAGAAAGGAGGAGGATTAGGAGGAGAGGAAGTGGAAATACAGAGGCAGGCGAGGAGGGCTGGCTGTGTGTGTGTGTGTGTGTGGGAGGGTGGGTGCGCTTGTGAAAGTGTCTGACATAAACATTTGATCCTCTCTTGGTGCTTTTTCCTGCTCCTCATAAAAAAATAGTGAGCTGCAAAAAGACGACTGACATTCTTCCGCTGGGTTAAAGGTTTTGCATAAAAAGTTAAAGTCGTGTCTCTGGTCATTTTCCATCTCCTGCTCTACATGACATACTTATAAATGATTCAAATTGGAGCTATCCAATCAATGTGTTCATTTTGTATTTTTTTTTTTTATTTATTAAAGGTCCCCTGAAATGGGTTTATTTTATTATTTTATGATGTTTCCTGGGTTGCCCTTATAGTGTTAGTATGTTTTTTTAGATCAAAAATAGTCATAATTTAAAAATAAAAGGCAATTTTTCTAGCCTGGGATTCAGTGAAACCGCCCAGTGCTGTGATTGGCTGACATGTATTACATGCGAAACTTTCTTGAATACTTTTACTACAGCTATCGAGATTACTGAATCGTGAGAAGTTTTTAAAGTATGTAGATCTGTTCCCATCACAGAAAATGTTGCCGTGATGAGCATTGAGCAAGCAGAGGACAGTCTGTCACTCTCTCTAATGCTTTCACCAATGCAGACACGATGATGTACATACAATAAGAGCTTCGTTGTGCAGTGTAACGCAGTTTCGTTGTGCAGTGCAATGCAGTTTTTCAGTTTCTGTGCAGTGTAACGAAGATTCATGTCAGGGGACCTTTAATATGGAAACAATACATATTTTTGTCTATTTTCTCGTTTATATTTTGCTCATCTGCCACAATAATGTCTTTGATTTATCTTCTTTCTTTGGAATTTATTTATTGATTTTTCTGTTTGATTTATTTTTTGATTTTTTTTTTTTGTATTTGTTTTCATAAAATTCTGATATTTTTGCTTAATTGCGATTTGTTCACTTAATCTGCATATTATGTTATTAATTTATTTTTAAAAGTTATTCGATTGACGAACTTTATTCAAAAACAGCTTTATTGAAGGTGAAAATTGATAAAGGCTAGAAATGTTCTCTTGGCTTCATTTGCGATAACTGATCTGTCGATTTAATGTGTTAATTTAGTATAATCAACAAAATTTTGGACCACTTTCTTTAAATTAGCTTTATTTGTTTATTAGCAAATATTGATATTTGTGATTAATTGCACTTAGCATATTATGTAATTAATTAATACATTTGAATAGATTGACAAACTTAATTCAAGAACTGCTTTATTGAAAGTGAAATTGAAAAAGGCTAGAAATAAGCTGTTCTCTTGTCATTTGGGACATTAGTCTGTCCAACCCACTTATACTTCAGATTTCAAGATGCCAAATTCATTTCAATCCTATATTCTTTTCTGAAGTCCAATTATAATTTTAGTCAAGAGCTTTTGCACCAAGAACAGTCGTAATTAGTTTTGAAAGACTATTTTTCACCCGTTCTCTGACATTAAGAGTTAAACAGGCCGTATACCTTTTTATGCAAATTATGTCTGTTGTGATTGGCTAAACTCTCCGCATATTGAAGAGATTAAAGATTAACAACACCCACACTACAACACTCATTACCATATATAGGTTGGTATGTAAACATGCTGATCATATACATCATGTTGAATTCTGAACAAAGTTTTTGCTGCTTTTCTCAATCTATTTTCTTTTTTTCAGCTGAATAATCACAACAACGCAAACAAAGGCTTATTCAATAACTGTATTCGGTCATCATTGACGTTAGTAGCATTTTCAAGTCTCCTTACATTCCCATGATATCCCTGCTGTATCTGGGATACGTGGTGCACACGCTCGGCCCTGAAGGCCCCTTTCGCTCAGCTGTGTTAAATGTTTGCTTTTTGTTGGGGACAATCGGTTGGGTTTAAAGTTTAATCCACTGTCCTGAATGGAAGCCCGATACGTGCAGACTTGATGTGTTTTAAATGGGTGCAGATACACATTGTTTCCCTGGCACTGCGTTTGCTTAGCAGCGCTGGCTCGATATGTTCAAAAAGTCCATGGGGTGGAAGCTGTGCTGGGATTCAGAGAAGAAAGAGATGTTTATATGATTTCCAAGAATAACGGCACAGAATCAGTGCATATAGCTTCAGGTGAATTCATGATGTTGTTCTTTGATCATTTCCTGCTGATGGGTGTTGCCAATGCCTTCTAGTCAGCCTTGAGGAAGATCCTGAGATTTTGGTCAGAAATAAAACCGACACGTCGGGAAATTTAATACTTCTTTCTCTGTTTTTCATTCCCTGTCAAAACACAGGAAGTTTTTTTTTTGTGCTTGTTCAAAAAAAAAGCAAAAGATTAGGTCTTGATAAGCGGCTGGATTTCAGATAAGTCACTGGTTTTGTTAACAGTTTTTATATGTACATTCTTCCATGGGCAGATCAGCGTACTAAAATATTCTCTTATGAGCTGTTTCTTTTAGGTGAATCAAACATAAAGCTTACAACTAAATCATTGTGACTGACTTGTTACTTTGACATGGTTAGGTTCACATTATTCATTATGTGTAAGAATTATAGAAAAATAGAACATTGAAAAGTCATTTAAAAGTCTGTAAAAACACAAAAAATAGTTACTGTATATGTCATTATTTGGAAATGGAATTGCATATCTTTTTTCCCTAAAATGTATTCCTTTTATGTACTAAAGGGGTCATATAATCCCATTTTTGTACAAGTTAATATAAATGTTTAGGGTCTAAATGAAAACTTTGTAATATACTTTTATAAAAATTTCTCATTAGTATTTTAAGAAAACACTAAATTTACCTGGTCAAAATCAGCTCTGTTTTCAGCACGCCGTTTCATATGCACTCTTTACTATTCCCATCCCTAGTCATAAGGAACGTGTGTATTTCCCGGTGCCAGCTTCAAGCTTTAGATGATGTGTGCTAATTTCGAGCCCTGATTTCCGAACGTTTAACCCCAGTTACATAAACTGAGCACCTGACAGAAAGCGCCAAGAAAATGTAGGTCATTCATTAGGGCTGGAGGCTTCAGAGAGACAGAGAAATCACTACAGCAGGTGAACATATCCTTAGATGGTGAGAAAGTCTTGTCTAAAACCGCACCGGCAGCACAGGGATCATGACATGCTCACAGAGCTGTGAAATAGAGTCGAGGAACACGGAGGAAACGTCAAGCACTGACAACAAGAGCATCTTATATCCACTGAGTCCTTCTCTGAGGGTTTGTTGAAGGTCCGTTAAACCAGATATCAGCTATGGCAGAGAGGGGAAACTGTCAGTGGAAGAGCATGTCCCGTTAATGAAAGATTAGCATATTTTAATAGGATTATGCTACATGTAGCATAGCCCCCTGGTGGACGGTTTGCATAACACATGCTCAAAAGAATTGTGCCATCTTTCTTGGTCTTTCCAATGTCCTCCTTTTCTGTATTTATTTCGCAAATCATTCCACAGTTTTGACCGGTATTATTGACTATATCTCTATCATGCTTTTATATAACATTGTGTCCCTCTCAGTCTCTTGCTCTTGCTCTCACTAGCAGACAGATGGAGAACAACAAACTGAGCTAAAGATATTTTCATTTATTTGTGACTCACAGGGCATGTGTGTTTGCAGGTGTGGGTGTGTGTGTGTGTTCGTTTGAAAGTTTATTGTTGGTTACAGCAGTCAGCAGAGTCCTCTGATCTGCCGAGCTTGGATTTTAGACAAAATCTGTTGACATCTTGTGCTAGGCTTTAAGTATGTACCGATGCTGAGTTTGTGTCACCTAGAATGTGTTTAGCCATACATAAAATGTAAATAATACATTAATACAAGTATAATGCGGGATATTTATCTGACCAACTGAAATGTTTGATACTTACTTTGCATACAGTCACCAAATCTGCATTTATTTGATCAAAAATACAATAAAACATGGTAATTTTGTGAAATATTATTGCAATTTAGAATTACGTATAGAATAATTTTTATTGTCACTTTTAATCAATTAATACATACTTGCTGAATATTTTTTTTTTAATTTAAAGCTACACTGTGTGATTTTTACCCCCATCTAGCGGTGAAAAGGTATATGACCATACAGGGAATATTAGTTTCTGTTCCTCTCAATTCCGATTTCGTTTTAACTCCTACGGTGGCCAATGTAGTCCAAGATTATCATGGCTTCCAGTTCGACCTCGTCCATGAGTGTTAACTCAAAACGTAAATGCGAAAGGCGAAGCTTGAATTAACGGGTATGTCCCTCTTTGGCTAATGTAGTCTCAAGATAGAGGGGCAACACGGCGACCGACATTAGAACCTCTTACCCGTATGTATTTATTTCAATGGCATATTATACACAAACGAGAATACTTTATTACTTGAACGAAGTAAATATACATTAATGAGCACATATATTTTTGAAAGAACTAAGTGTTTTTAGCTAAGAATAAACTAAAAGAGTTACACAGTGTAGCTTTAAAACCCCAAACATTTTTTTAATTAAAACCCCAAACTTCTGAAGAGTAGTGTATTCACATCATCGTGCTTTATTTCGACTTAATTTGAATTCAGAATTCATTACTCAGCTCATGTGATATCTGTAAGACATCCCTTTTTTCTGTTTGTTGTTAACAGATTAACTCATTCATGAAGTTTTTCAACTTGCTAAACTGATCATAGATAACGATAGTCTAACTTCAGTTGTGTGTCTGTGTCTCTCTCAGAAAGCGTACTGTGGCCACTGCAGCGAGAGGATATGGGGACTGGGGCGTCAGGGCTACAAGTGTATCAACTGCAAGCTTCTGGTCCATAAACGCTGTCACAAGCTCGTCTCACTGACCTGTCAAAGGCATATGGTGAGTCTTTCATTCAGCTCTAAAAATATTCATTATCTGTCTGTTGTCACTGAGAGTCTTAATTCAAATGAAGTCAGATTTGAAAGCATAAAGAAGTGAAAAAATTGACTTTTTTGTGTTTGTCATTTCATTCAAATAAGCACTTCCTCTGCTGTTGAGAAGCTCATTACTGTTTCATTGTAATGTTTTATTGACTTTTTGAAAGAGTTTGCCTCTCTTCTCACTTCTCAAGAGTGTTGATAGCACTTGTGGAATTTGTCAGATGATAACACTGTCTTAGACTGAATGTCGAAATCATTGACTGAAACACTGTAACATGAAACATCTTCACAACACCACCTTCTGCAAGAAATGTTTCTGCATGTCAGAAATTCAGAATGAAATTCAACAACAAATTTAAATTCAACATTGATTTATTTACATGACTGAAGATATCAGACATCCAAATTCCTACATCTGATGTTTTTCCAACAGAACCCAAAACTGATGAGCTTTAGAGTCTGACTTTGTCCTCATTTTGTGAAGACATTCTGTCATTCATGTCTGCCTCCTTTCATTATAGTTCTTTTTCTCTCTCTCTCTCAATCTTTCTCCCAAATGTTTGTCATAATTTTGTTGTTACACATTTTCTTTGTAATAGAATTGAAAACACTGCTATATTATTATTGTTACATAATTATATATTATATTAATATTAGGGCTGTCAAAAATCGCATCCAAAATTAAAGTTTGTGTTTACATAATATATGTGGGTGCACTGTGTATAATTATTTTATATATTTAAATACACACACATGCTTGTATATATTTAAGAAATATTTTCATGTATATACTGTATACAGATTTATATGTAATTTATATTATATATAAATATAAATATTTTATATATAAAAATGTGACTTAAATATACACGCATGTGTGTGTATTCATATATATATGAAATAATTATACACAGTGCACCCACATATTATGTAAACACAAACTTTTATTTTGGATGCGATTAATCACGATTAATCATTTGACAGCCCTAATTAATATATCAGTAATATGTTGATTATAATTGTCTGCTTGATATCTTTTCTTTTTGTGGTCAAGAAAGTTTCAAAATTTGACATTTTGTGAAATAGTATTCAGTGGGAAATAATGTACGTAGAACATAGAATCATTTTATCCATTGTGTTTTAATTGGATTGTGTGGAGTAAACTGTGATATTGTTGGTTAACTTCATTTATTTTTTGTTATGTTAACAGATAAGAAAATTAATTTAAGAGGTAGAGAAAGTTATTAGATTCTGATAAATGATAATGAAAATATTTATACATCTCTTGATTTCATAAAGTAAGAGTAAAAGTTTTCATGTTGGGATAAGTGAGATTCTGATTTGGAGCCTCAAAGAGGAGAAGGAAAAAAGACATTTGAAAAATACCTTTCCTGTATCATCTGTTTTTTCTCTGCAGGATCCAGTCATGCCATCACAGGAGCCGTTGGTAGATGATGATAAAAGTGGAGAGGAAGTGGAGCTCCCCCCTGAGGACCCTGAAGAAACAGACGCAAGTAGGTCTCCATCTCCGCTGTGTGCATTTCTAAATGCTGTTTTTGTGTGGGTATTGGGGTCATTCTGTCCTCTATCTGTCAGAGGTCACTGCTGACTGTGGTAGGATACTGTAGTACATCAGGTGCGAGTAATGTCACATTGACCCAGTTGAGAGAGAGAGAGAGAGAGAGAGACATACTCATCCCTTTGAGACAGTCCAGTCTGTGGCTCCCCCTGCTGGAATCTTATAGCATTACACATGATCATTTCTCTTAATGATTTGTGAACTGAAATTGTTCTTTTGAATTTGATTAATTTAAAGGTCTTGTAGGTCTTCTACAATAGTTTTACAATTCATCCAAGGTCAAAAAACACTTGAAAATGCACATCACCTCATTTCTCTAAGATTCTGAAAATGGTTTGTTTGAAGCTTCAGTCTCTCTAAACCCCTCCTTTCCGAGAGCCTACTCTGCTCTGATTGGTCAGATGGCCCGCACTTTTATGACTGGTCTACATCTTAGAGCACGTGCTGAAAACAAAACACTCATTTCTATAAATGAATTTCAGCTCTGGAGGCTTCCTCAGTGCTTGCAAAGTGGTATTAAAGGAGTAGTTCACTTTTAAAAAAAATTTGCTGATAATTTACTGACCTCCATGTCATCCAAGATGTCTATGTCTTTCTTTCTTCAGTCGAAAAAATTAAGGTTTTTGATGAAAACATTCCAGGATTTTCTCCATATAATGGACTTCATTGGGAACCAAACAGTTCAAGGTCCAAATGAGTTTCAGTTCAGCTTCAACGGGCTTTAAACGACACCAGACGACGAATAAGGATCATATTAAGCGAAACGATGCGTCATTTAAAAAATAAATAAAAAAGTTTAAATTTTATAAACACAAATGCTCGCCTTGCTCTGTTCTGTGATGAGCGTTCGTGACTCTCCTGTTCAAACTCGTTCATCAAAATGAACAAATCTTTTTTCGAGTCATGACTCGAAGGGTCCTAGTCTAAGACCCTTAATCATCGTCAGGTGTCGTTTAAGGCCCTTTGAAGCTGCACTGAAACTCTCATTTGGACCTTGAACCACAATATAAATAGAATATTTTAAAAAGAAAGATTCAATGAATAACACTACAGAACAAAAATGTAAAGGACAAGCAATTAATAAGAAAGTCTCTCTTTCTCTGTCTCTCAGTTCCAGTCCCTTTCTTAGCACACAACCGGAAAGTGGAGAAAGCTGAAGATGACACCGAGGTAAGACAAGACGCAGCTCATAACTGATTATCCCAAATTTCCACAAGGCTTCATTCACTATAGTCACAATAGTCATATACAAATGCTTTTACTCACATTGTTTATATCTGCTGTGTAAAGGAATGCATGTAACATGTCTGCACCGAATTTGTCCAAGAGAAATGTTACAACAGTTTGGACAAAAGGTTTCCGCTGTGTGTTCACAGGATCTGAAGGCGGTGGTGGACGGGATCGAGGGGATTCAGATCTCTCAGTGTCTCGGCCTGGGGGACTTTGACATGATCCGGGTCATCGGGAGGGGCAGTTACGCTAAAGTGCTGCTGGTCCGACTCAAGAAGAACGAACAGATTTACGCCATGAAGGTGGTGAAGAAAGAGCTGGTCCATGATGATGAGGTAACAGCCTGTGTTGTCATGCGGATGAGTCTTCTTCAGTTTTATCATAGTGTCTTTGCTGCACCTCATAGATCTGGGAAAATGCAGGAAGGTCTCCTAGTTTGTAGTGTGATTGTTATGTAGTTGACACCAGTAGGTGGTGCTGTGGGATTGCGCTCATTTTAAATCGCTTGCAGTTCATCTTCAGTGGTTTTCACAAGTTTATTCAAAGATAAAGGCACTTTGTTCTAATTGGAAATCAGACTGTTTGCCTGTGAAATATAATTTTTTTTACATTTTTCTTGTGTCCGCGTTATATTTTTAGGAGCCAAATTAAGCTCATCAATGAGCATGGCATTAAAAGAATGAAATGAATACAATAAAATATAAAAGGAGGCTTCTGCAAATAATAAGAGAAAAATAAATGAAAAATGACTATTTTGGAACGATAGCTAATTTATATAATGGAGAGTTAGATTACTCACTTTGTCACAACATCATTATGTGTGTCATTCTGTTTTAAAAGCAACCTGTTTACACCCACATTCAATATCTTTTTGTATATTTAGAATCTTGGTGATTTAATTTCACTTTGAAAAATGTTAGAATTTATATCATATTAAACTTTTTTATATAGTTGAGTTTTTTATTGTAATGCAGAAAGAAATGTAATTTTATTTATTTAGTTACATTATCGTTCAAAAGTTTGGGGTCAGTATAATCTTTAAAGACTTTTTGAAAAAAAATTAAACACTTTTATACGTTCTATTTAAAGAGTCCTGAAAAAAAAATTATTGCAATTTCCACAAAAAATAACTGATTTCAACATTGATGATTATAAGAAATGCTTCAAATGCAGCAAAACAGGAAATTAGAATGACTTTTGAAAGGTCATGTGACACATTATGCTGAAAATGTAGTTTTACATCATAGGAATAAATTCAATTTCAAAATTAAAACAGAAAAAAGTTGGTTTTAAATTGCAATTATATTTAACAATAAAACCCTTTTGCTGTGTATATGATTAAATGCAGCCATAATGAACATAAGAGACTTCTTTTGAAAAAAAAAATATTATAGACCCCAAACTTTTAAATATTACTGTATTTATTTATTTAATATAACCTTAAATGCAGTGGGATTTGACTTTATTCTAAAAAGCACAATATAACATTGAGATACTTTTTGTTTTGTTTGTTTCTGTGCAATAGCATTAGCAATATCTCTGTAATGAAACCTGATATCTGTGAACAGGCATCACATAGAAAGACAAACTGAACTCTACAGCTATTCATCACAATGTAAACTCTGTACAGTCAAAGCTATTGTGTCTTTGTAAACTTGGCTCGCTCAGGAACATAAAGCCACATGGTTGTCGGCTAACGCACATGAATGAAGTTCACGAAGAGCAGAGGTCCTTCCAGAATGACAGAGACATGCAGTTGAACTCTGAATATGCACAAACAATGTAATTGCTTCCCCGAAGGCAGGCGTTCCTTCAAGGAATGTGTTCTCCTTTTCTTAAACTGTACTGTACATGTGTGTTCTGTGTATGCATGTTGTGCAGTCACACTTATTAAGGCTTAATGAGGCAATTTAATGATGGCATTTTATGCAACAAATTGGAGTTTGACATGCTGTATACATAAATATGGTCACATAGAGGGATGTGCTACTTAAACTTTGACTACATTCACAACATGGATTCCTGCTGGTTCTAAAAAAAAGTCTTAAAATGTCTTAAATTCAGTTTAATCAAACTTAAGGTCAAATGATATAATAAAAGTCTTATAATTTTAAGAGGTCTGAAGAGGTTGTGGCAACCGAAATACTATTATTAACTTTCAAAAGGTTATGATGGAATTAAATAAATGTGAGCACTGCATGTTTAACGTCAAAAAGAACAATAACCTTTTTATTGCCTTTATTTAAACACATTATTATCCTATCCGCATAATCCAATCCATATGGTTACTATTGATATATTAGTACACACCAATTCCAGTGCATAAGTATATATTAAATAAAATATGTCTAGAGTATTTTAAACTTGCAGTTACCCTGATTTGCTAATATTAAGTTCTTGATTAATGTTAAGGAAAATAATATGATTTATTTTGAGATTGTATGAGTTTATTATGTATGGGAATAATGTATTAATTGAATTTGTCTTAAAAAGGTCTTAAAGTCTTACATTTAAAGTCTTTCGCTTCTATAAAGGCGTTACAAAATATAAAATATTACAAGTACTAAGGATTATAGTTTATTCTCTATGGATATTGCACAGTAATATACGCATGATAAACCACAGCTTTTGGTCAAACATGTGTTTTGCATCATAACTTTTACTATTGTGTTTATTTTAGCTTGGCTAGAATGCCGTATTGACCCGTTCAGCATCCAGGACTGGAACTATCCATTTTTTATTTCATCCAAAATTATTTTAGACAACATTTTTCAAATTCTTGTCTGATTATCATATATGCATTTATGCACCTCATATGAATTGAGAGAGAGAGATTTGTGCATGAATAAACTGCAGACTATTAAAGTAGTTAAAAATTAAAAACTCTAAAAAACTTAGAAAAATGCTGACTAGTCACAGTACTTAAAATACACTTCCCTATAATACATTCATATTCATTTTAGCTTCAATTCCTGATGATGAACAACATTAATGAATGAATTAATGGCCATGTTATTTGTCGATTACAATAAGGTTTATTGTTAACCAAAAATAAAAAAGTAAAAAATGTCATTTATTAAAATAAACATTAACTGAATTGTTAATAGTATAAAAAACAGAAACATTTTATTTCTATTAGTTGTCAAAGCGATATATCTCACTTTTGTTTAGATTAACTTGATGTAGTAAAATAACTCAAACTAAAAGTGAACTAAATAATGATAAAAAATTATATATAGACATTAACAACAAAATACTACAACATTTACTAAAATAAATAATAGTATCTCAATGAAAATAAGATAATGCATTATACTGGATGTTAGAGGTCAGATAACTGTTATTTGACAAGACAAATATTACGATTGGCTGATGGTAAGATAGAGAAAGAAAACAAAGAAAGATTGAGAAATGTAGGAAGAGAGAAAATTAACATACAATATATACGTACAGTACATCATCTGTTTCTCCTCATGTCTTTATGCTGACACTGCTTTCCTGTAATCTGCTTTCCACTCGTCCAGGAAATTAAATTGTCCTGGTTTTGGAAATCGGACTGTGTGTGTGTGTGTGTAATGTTTTGGGGCCAAAAGTCCCATGAGGAAAACCACTTAACATACTAAACATGCTAATTAAAATCTAAAAATCCATACAAAGTTAATGTTATTGTTAAGTGTAAGGTCAGTGGACAGAAAACACCCTTAGCTTGGTTTAAAAACAGTATTCGCCAATGAAAACGTCCAGACATGATAGAAAAACAAAGTGTTTGTTTGGGCTGAGATCTCATTTCACCCGCAGCCTCCCAAAAGACATTCATTGTCATTTTTCAACTTTAGTTGTTGAGTAACAGACATTCTCTGGAGTTCTTTGAGCTGATTACAAGTGTTGACAGAACAAAAATACTTGACTTTATCAACACATCGCTGAGCTGTGTCTTCACACCCAGAGACATTCTCAATACAGATGTTTTGTAACATCCTGTCTGGACGGTTCTGCGAAACGAAAGTGTATTGAGTGTTAGATTTGAAAGATACTGTACAATATATACCTTTATTGGCTTCTCTTGTGATTTATTTACATGTCTGTTTCTCTTTTCTCTGTTGTCTTTCCTTTCTGCACTTTTTAAAGAAGAAGAGAAAGGTGCTTTTCTTCTTTTAAATCTGAGATTTGACTCCCCAAAGTGACAGCATGCAATAGTGCCACATGTTTTCTGCTGTTAAACGATCAATAGACGAGTTTTTTTTTTTTTCTCAGAAAACACAGGCTTGTTTTTTTCTTTAACCTGAAATAGTCCCCCAGTAGAGGCGGTGAAACATAATGTCCTCTCCTCTAGTTCTTAGAAAGCAGTGAAACAGATTCCTGTCATGATCATTTGCAGTTGATTATTCATGATAAGGCAAATGTCTCTCTCTCTCTTTTTTTTTCTTCTTTCTTCTGGTGTAGGACATTGACTGGGTCCAGACAGAGAAACACGTGTTTGAACAAGCATCGACCAATCCATTCTTAGTGGGACTTCACTCTTGCTTTCAGACAGAAAGCCGGTAAGAGGAGAATGTACTTAATTTACCAAAGCTTTTTGTAATAGCACACTTAAAATAAGAAATCTTCGCCGCAAGAAAAAGTAATAAAATGTGAAATAACAAATCATTTTTGTTAAAGAAGTAGTTCACTTTTAAAAAAACTTTTGCTGATAATTTACTCACCCCCATTTCATCCAAGATGTCCATGTCTTTCTTTCTTCAGTCTAAAAGAAATTAAGGTTTTTGATGAAAACTTTCCAGGGTTTTCTCCATATGATGGACTTCATTGGGAACCAGTGCAGTTTCAGTGCAGCTTCAAAGGGCTTTAAACGACACCAGACGATGAATAAGGGTCTTATCTAGGACCCTTCGAGTCATGACTCGAAATAAGATTTGTTCATTTTGATGAACGAGTTTGAACAGGAGAGTCACGAACGCTCATCACAGAACAGAGCAAGGCGAGCATTTGTGCTTATAAAACTTAAACTTTTTTATTTATTTTTGAAATGGCCGATCGTTTCGCTTGATAATACCCTTATTCATCGTCTGGTGTCGTTTAAAGCCCTTTGAAGTTGCACTGAAACTCTCATTTGGACCTTGAACCATTTGATTCCCATTGAAGTCCATTATATGGAGAAAATCCTAGAATGTTTTCATCAAAAACCTTAATTTCTTTTCGACTGAAGAAAGAAAGAGATGGACATCTTGGATGACATGGGGGTGAGTAAATTATCAGCATAAGTTTTTTTAAAAAAAAGTAAACTTCTCCTTTAACATTCACAAAATCAACGTTTGAGATTGACAACTGTGTTATTTTTCACAGATTTTTCTATTTAAATTGCACATAAAACTGCAGGTATGAGCAGATCAAATAATGTCTGTATGAACAGGAAACCAGTCAATGGTGATAGCCATGTTTACAGCCTGTAACCATGGCAACAGATAATGATAGTAAATATTGTGTCTTTTCTTCTGAGCTATTTTGGGCATTTTGGAACAATCCTGCTGTCTTCATTCCCTCTGAAATGCAGCCAAACGTTTTTTTTTCTTTCCATTCCACCGAAACTCTTAACAGGATTTTTTTCTAGCTGTTCATCTGCACAATATCACTATTTACTGCTGTTTTTCATAACTTGAGAGGTTGACAGTAGTACTAACAATAGTGAGAAATTACTTGCAACAGACAACTAGTTTTGTAACTCGGCTGTGGAGAATTTAAGCTCTACGAGTTACAGTATAGGACATGGTTGTCGATCTTTTTCATGAGAAAACGTTGTGTGAACGCACTGTATGGCCAGCACATCTGAAACAAAAACTATAAACAAATGATGAATGTCTCCTGCTCTCCATTCAGGCTGTTTCTAGTGATTGAGTATGTGAATGGAGGAGATCTTATGTTCCATATGCAGAGGCAGCGGAAGCTTCCAGAGGAACATGCCAGGTTTGTGCTATTTAAAAAAAAAAGATTGTTGATTTGGTTGATTTTCAACTCAGGAGGCCATTTAGATTAGGCCTAATTTTATGTGGGATTAGATGGTTGGATGGATGGATGACGGAGAAAAGGAACAATGAGTAGGTCACTAGATAATTCTGCAAATAATAAAGAAAGAAAATTAGACTAGAACACTAGAAAATTCTTAAATGGTAGTTTGCTAGCCAAAAAATGTCTGTTCAGCAGCAACTATAAATTAATAAATACATAAATACAGAATTATTTGTTCAACAAACCATTGAAAATATGATTTCATGGTTTTGTATGATTCAAATACAGAAAACTTTTCTTACACAAATAGAAATGTGCACTTTTTAGGCTCACGGCATTCACTCTGGCACCATCACAGACTTCAAAAACACGACTCATCTGTGTAGTTTTATTAACTTGAAATTGTCCGATTGAACTAAAGCCACGCCCTTGGTTCGAATGCAGATCTCATACACTTCTGTTAGGCTGTATTACTCTGTTAGATGATGTGAATCCTGTCACAGCGACTGATCTGAGCACTGTTGCAATGCCCCCGTTTCACACGTCTGATAAACTGAGATCAAACGCAGGCTAATCATTTGAGTCAAGCTCACCCCGACCGGTCCTATCAATATGCGTCCGGCACACCACACATATGCAAATCCACATGCTAATTACGAGTAATGAGACTAAATATGCATGAGTTGCTCCTAAAGGTCTCACGAGCCCTTGCTGATCGCTGACATGAAGCAAAAGATTCAGAGTGCCAAACCTGATACCTGATCGGAAATGTCACCACTCATTTTGTCCTACTTTGAACACCTTTCTTTTTATTTGCTTTTCCCCCCCTAACTTTAGACAGGGTTGAGACAGTTAGACACACAGTATAGTATGTAATACTAATTTCAAGAAATTGCTTGTCACATCGCTAATGGTCATAAAGGTAAAGGATGCTAAAGGACAGATTATTGTGCAGATTATAGTACCTCAGCATTGTTGAATGCTTGATTCTGATTGGTTGACACATGGTCTCTAATGTATTGATACAAAGCCTAGTTCACTACTATTTAAAAGCTTGGGGTCAGTAAGATTTTTTAGTTTTTAAAGAAATCATTACTTTAGACTAAATCTAAAATATCTTAAACTGTTTTCCGAAGATTGATCTATTTATTCATATATTATAAGAAGTCTTACGGCTTGGAACGACATGAGGGTCATTAATGACATAATTTTCATTTTTGGGTGAACTAACCCTTTAAGCAGCCCAGCTATTAATATATATATGAAGAGTTCAGATGCAAAAGCCTCTAAATGCCATTTGAAATTTTCTTCAAGAATGTTAATTTTTATCAAGCTTGTATATTTAAGTTCAGTAATTTCACTTAAATGGTAATGAAGATTACCTATAAATTGCCATTTAAGTGAAATTACTGAATTTAAATATACAAGCTTGATAAAAATGATTATTCTAGAAGAGAATTTCAAATGGCACTTAGAGGCTTTTGCATCTGAACTCTTATATATATATATATAACAATAAGAAAAATTTCTTGAGCAGCAAATCAGTGTATTTGAATGATTTCTGAAGGATCATGTGACTAAAAACTACGTGTAGAGTAATGATGCTGAAAATTCAGTTTTGCATCACAGGTTTTAAATATTTATTCAAATAGAAAATTGCATTTTAAATTGTAATAATATTTCACAATTGTATTGATTTTACTATATTGTTTATTCAATAACTGCTGTCTTGATAATTAACAAATCTCACCGACCCTAAACTTTTAAACGGTTGTGTGTTAAATGTGGAAATCAACAATTCCTCTTCAATTAGTCCCCATCTGAATGTTTTGAAATGACGAGCCTTGCCAATGACATCTTTTTTCCTGTTTCCTGCAGATTTTATGCTGCTGAAATTTGCATCGCTCTTAATTTTCTGCATGAGAAGGGCATTATTTACCGGGATTTAAAACTGGACAATGTACTATTGGACCAGGATGGCCATATCAAACTTACAGACTATGGCATGTGCAAGGTAGAACCTAATCCTAAACACAAATAGAAGTAGCCATACTGTAGATGTATCTCTCAATAAGTCAAAAAATACTGTTAAGACAGAGTAGAACTCATACCAGATTTTGTTTCAGGAGGGAATCAGACCAGGTGACACCACCAGCACATTCTGTGGGACGCCCAACTACATCGCCCCAGAGATCCTGAGGGGAGAGGATTACGGTAGGTGTGACTACATGAATCCCTGCTGTCAATACTGCACAATCCAAAGTAACATAATAAAATGTATATATTTAGTGTTCTGTGAATCCTAGTGATAAAGATTGAACTCTTCTTTTTCTGTGTTTTAGGGTTTAGTGTAGACTGGTGGGCACTGGGTGTGCTCATGTTTGAAATGATGGCAGGTCGATCTCCCTTCGACATCATCACTGACAATCCTGACATGAACACAGAGGAATATCTCTTCCAAGGTGACGACTTGTGAATTCAACATTAAGTTCAATTCAATAGTTCAGTGTAAACCATGTCGCCAAAGCCAATTTTTCCTTCCATTTGGCGCTTGTCAGGTGTTAATTTTGGACCTACTCGCAGTTTTTACAGTGATGCAGTGATATATATATATATAAATAATTTGTGCATAATTACATTTAACTAACCCTAAACTAAAACCTAATCCTTAACCCTATAGTAAGTACATGTAGTTAATTATTAATACTCTAATAGGTAAACACGAACACCTTAAAATAAATTGAAACCAAATCTCTTCATCTTTCCCCCCCCCCAAATTATAGATGGTATGTTCAATTCTGGTAGAGTGAAATGGACAAACTTTTGAAGAGTTTTATTTTATTTTGTTGGTAACACTTTTTGATCGTCCACTTTAGACATTCTACTAACCATAATTAAATTAGCAATTATTCAACTTATTCTACTAACCCAAACTCTAACATTCTACTACTGTCTACTAATACTCTATTGAGAGTTAGTTGACATGTAGTTGCAAACTCACTTGAAACTCTTAAACTCTCATGAATGAAGTCTCACACAGTTTGGACTGTCTCTGCTTGTTGCATATATACATATATATATATATATATAAATATATATAGGGGCAAATTTTTATGTATTTGAAGAGTGTAGAAGATGTCTTAGTCATCGATAGATGCGTTTATCATCAAATGATAGCTAATACACTCTTAGTCTGTATGTAGCACTTCATTTTTGATAACATGAGATTTTGCTGAGTGCCCATATAGCTACAGAAAATGTTATAATGTGTACGTTGATTAAAACGCAGTACTTGCTGCCTCAGTTGGGGCTGTTCTAATGATGGACAAAACACATACGTATTTCAGTCCATTTCCGCTTTATTTTAGTAAAATTTTAATAATATAACGGCAGATGCGAGTGTCTGACCATATATAAAGGCACTTATAAACATTTCCTTAAAAATAGTGTTTTTGGAGACATATCTGCCCGACAGCGATGATATGTTCACATGTATTGCTGAGCCCTTCACGGCATGTGTGCCATTCCTTAATGAGACATTCTTTCATCCCCCCTTTCCTCGCCTCCCTTCCATCTCCAGAGCAGAGAGTGTGTGGTCATCTGCTTCCCTGTCTGTTCTCTGGTGCCCCAGCCGTGAGGGCAGCGTGCTCCTGGATCACTCTCGTTCATACAGACACACACGACATGAACCTGGATCTCTCTCCACAACCGGAACTCCGTTCCCCCAATCCAAACCTCAGTTCGTCCATATGCTGCAGAATCGTCCCGGTCCAACCTCCCCCCGGCCCTACACGGCGCTCCGCCGCCCACCCAGGAGCAGGGCAGATGCTGCCACCGCCGAGCCAACACTTTAGCCGCTTTCGGGCCGCCGTCCAGACCGCGTCACAGCAGCAGGGCAGAGCCCCTGCAAGATCTAAATCCCTTTAGCTTTTCATTTGGAAAAGAAAACAAACAGGAGGATGTGGCATTCAGAGAGGGGAAAGATAAACGCTCGTCTGCAGAGAGAGAGAGATGAAATTTAACAGGCTTTACTTCTGGACGGTTGCCCGAGATACGCAACTGTAAAAGAAATCCAAAAATGCTGGGATGAGACGTATTAAAAAGGCATTTTTTTATTTTGATTTTTTTACTTTTTGTGGGGCGTTTTAAATCCACTTAACACCGCGACAGAATTTTATGAATTTACAGAAATAAACATGGAGCGGGAGAAATCGCTTGTTTTGAATATGGAAGGGCTTATTCAGGCGTCTGTAGTGTGTGGGTGTATGAGCGAGAGATTTTGTGTGTGTGGGTTAAAGCCTGTCTCTCTCTGACACTGCCGCACAACACGACGGGCATACTCTGCAAGAATGACTCATACTCTTTTATCTTCGGTTTCTTTTTCCCCTCTCTCTTTCAGTAATTTTGGAGAAGCCGATCCGGATTCCCAGGTCATTGTCTGTTAAGGCTGCGAGTGTGCTGAAAGGTTTTCTGAACAAGGTGAGAACAGAATGTACTTGGTATGTGAACGAACACTGCAGGGTGCAATACAGCTGTCATGTTTTTGCAAAACACAAGGAGATTAGAGGTTATACAGAACAAAAAACATTAAAAATATCATTCAGTAAAATTGTATATATATATATTGACATACATACGTACATATCATCCTTGCCTGTTTATTTCAGCATCATATAAAATCAGCAATAATGATAAATAATATTAAAGCAAACACAGCTCTGGTATCGGAAAAGTATCGGTATCGGCCGATATCCAAAGTCAGGTATCGGAAGTGAAAAATGTGGATCGGTGCATCCCTAATGTAGCTATTATATTTGTATTATTATAATGAAAATATATATAATATATTTTTTTATAATATTTCTATATTATTATAATACTGATACCAGATAGAAGATACAGATAATACTGGTATTGGCCAGACTGATTCAGTTACATCTTACAAAATTCTTTACATAATGAGTAGTTAGTAATCACTATTATGCTCCATTACACGAGAAAAATGGATGAGAAACAAACAGGCTCTTAGGGGGGAAAAAATACCATAATTCATGAACGTTGCACACTGAGGTTTATAAATGAGGGTCTTAACTCTACACAAACGTGCACACAGTTTGACTCTGATTGAACGAATATACAGTATGTGCTATAATTAGGAGGGTCATCATCCTCCAGACGAAACTGATCTCTTGAGGGTGCGCACACTTCTTGTCGTTTGCCTGTGTGCGTGTCTCTTGATTAAATCTATGAATAATGAAGCTTTTTCCTTTAATTGTCAAGACAAATTGCGTTTATTGAAGCTCTGGGGTTCCTCAAACTCAACAGCAGCCTGTAATCAGTGTTATCAGCCCGCTTAGCCTCTGCCTGATTCATTGGGATTAAATGAGCCTAGATCAGTGCAGCGAGTTGCTTCAAGACCCTTGAATCATCATCCAAAATCTCAGAGCGCACGATAACTTATGCACTAGTGAATGTGTTTTGGGTTAAACTCCAGTTTTCTGAAATGAAGAGGACATGAAATTAGGTTTCATGTTTTTGAAGTTCTCTACACCAGATCTGGCTTTTGTTAGGTGTGTTATTAATAGGCTGTGTGTTCTGTTCAGGACCCGAAAGAGAGGCTGGGATGCCAAGTTCAGACCGGATTCACAGACATCAAGGCTCATACGTTCTTCAGAAGCATAGACTGGGACCAGGTAGGCTTTTTGTCACGTTTTAATATATGGAGAGACTGCTTATGCACTAATGGAAGTTGCTTGGCTGGCTCGGATATCTTTACTCTTTTTTTCCCCCCCTCTTAAAATTAGCGTCATCAAACGTTGTTACGTTTTTCATGGCATGCAAGTTTTTAAGGGTTGTTTGGTATTTCCTTTCAAGTAGTGTGTTATATAGTTGTTTATGAATGTAAAAGTTGCGAAACATTTTAAAGATCAAAGTGTGTGATAAGTGGAGTTATTGTCTCCCAAAAGAACGAACCGATTCTGAACTGCCTGAATCGAGTCATCAATAATTATGGTCTGCCCGTGAAAAACGTTTACTTTGGCAGACGTGGACGAGTTTGGTTTCTGTTGTCCACATGTCGAAAAGATGTGTTTTAAGTTTGCATGCACTTCCAAAGAATGAGGGCTCTTCATGGCTCGAATTAATATAGGGTATATTGAACTGACGCCATTATTACGATTTGTATCACTGTGTATACAAGTGCTAAGGAAGCATCCGGAGCTGAAATTCAGAAATGGACATTTTGTTTCGGTAGATCAGTCACAACAGACTGGGCCATCTGACCAATCAGAGCAGGTTTAGAGAGACAATAATGCTGAAATGTATGTTATGAGAAAAATTGGATGCACGTAAATCTATTGTAGGAGACCTCCTAAACAAAATTAGGAACATTTAATATAACATATATTAGGGGCACTTTTAAAATAGAGTTTAAAATGGAGTTATGTAAGAGGATCTGGTTTAAAGTACTGACTAAAACCCAGACTGAATCAGCTTTAACAACAACAGTAGAAAATACTACACTTTGAGACTGTTTAAGCAAGGTTTATTGTAGTTGTTTATGAACTACACTTTTGGAAGAGGGGATGTAGTGTGTGTGTGTAGGGGAGGGGTGTGTGTGGTCATTGATAGGTGGGTGTTATCCTCCGTACAAGCAGCAGAAATGAAAGAGAATATCAAATGAGGTTCAGCCTTTGCTGAAGCGGCACAAGGTTTAAGGGGGGATGTTAATTGGTCTGGTATAAATGATGCACACAATGCTGAAACATGAAAGTCAGGGAGAGAGCATACAATATTCAGGAATTGCAGATAGAGCGTGTGTGTGTGTGTGTGTGTGTGTGTGTGTGTGTGTAATTAATGAAATAGAATGTGTAAGAGGAAGACTTTGGGTGCAATACAGAGAGGTAGAGAAGACTCATGTCATGTATGGCCTACTGTATAGTTCCACACAGGATCTGGACTTGTTGAATCTGAAGGTATTTTTTTAAGATTTCCATAGAATTTACACTCCCATCATGCACAGAATCATGTTGTTAAAACAAATCAGGTAAATTATGTAATTACGCAATGTTCACTTTTTTATTTTTTACAGCTTCTTTTTAAGCACTTTAATTTTTTTGTCAACATGATATAAAAATAGACTCAGTTTGCTTTCTAAATCCATGTGAATGTTGTTCCAAAGAAGAAGAAGAAAAAGTTTGTCTTTGTAATATATATTTGTAATATAACCACCTGGCTCAATTCTGGTCTGTAAGGGCTTTTTTCAAGTTCCAGTCAGTGTTCAATGGATAACTTCTACAGTTTTATTTAATCGAATATCACAATACGCGTTACAGAAGTAAAATGGGAACTATTTTTCATGTTGATTTTGAATCTGTTTAGGGAATTAGAGGGATTGTGGGGTTGTGACCCACCTAACTAAGGACCCTCCCAAAGGACGTTGTAACAAAAAGTTTATATTTTTTATATGCAGTATGAAGGTATACAAAATATTTGTCAGGGATTTCAAATGCTTTAGATACATAAAAGTTAACAAAACAAAAACATTCATGACTTTTTATTTTATTGATTTTAGGTCAATATAAATCACAAATGCGTCATCAAATCTTTATTATTCATCCATGCATGCTTCATTTTTATTTATTATTTTCCGGTGAAATTACAGACTTTATCTCTGGTAATGTATGCTGGACATCTCTTATAATATTCTCTGAATATACCACGTTCCTTTCTTACATCAACAACCGATGGATTAAACCAAGACCCCACCCTACATTGTTTTTTAATATTAAATCAATAATTCGTCATTAATGGGCTACAAAGTTGAAGATCTTTGCAGATATGGAAAATCAGGGCTGAGAGTCTGAAAACAGCTTGCAGATTCAGTCCGGGTCATAAAAACTGCAGAGGCAGCAAATTAGTTCTTTCCCCACTGTATCATCTCATACTTGCCTCAGACACACTGTACTTGTACTGTACATCTACACATAACTGAGTCCTCAGCCAGGCGTTCAGCTGTGATCTGTCGCGTTTTGTTAGCTGTAATTGTGGTTAGCGTTGGTTGGTCGTGTCCGCCGTGTATTTCCTGATGTGCACTCACAAGTTCGGCAACGTGGAAAGGAAATTATACGCTCTAGAGTTCTGTCACTAACGCACCATGCTTCAGTTGCTGGGATTTTCTGCCACTTTACCAGCGTAATGGATGTGTTTGGACACACAGACTCGCACACAACCCCCTGAGCTCCGCTAATAAACCGGGTTGCGCTACACTTGTTGTTAATTGTTAATGAATACATTGATTTGATGCTCAACTGAAAGCACGTTGCCTATCTAAACTATGTCTGTGTCTGACCCTTTTCAAGTGGATATTGTCGCTGCTGTGCTTCTTTGCTGTGTGGTATTTCAGTTTGACCTTGCCATTGCAGAAATATTTCTATTCATCTTTCTTTTGATGATCTGGCTGTTTTGAAATGAAATGAAAAAATATATTTTTTTTAAAACACACATTTATTAAATGTCCTGGAGTGGATGTACATATATCACAGGACAATGCTGTCATTTATGTCTCTCTTTTTTTTTTTTTTACTAACGAATGTCGCTTCCACAGCATTTCAAATTGTCTTGGTCACACTTTAAAAATAAAAAATATTTATTATCAAAGTTAATTGAATCATCATTTATTATTTAACTAATTGTTTAAAATTAATTACTCATAGTTTATTTCAAATTATTTGTAATAAAATATAAAAGTTTGAGTTTAACTGAAGAGTTCAGATGCCTCTAAGTGCCATTTGAAATTTTCTTCTAGAATGATAATTTTTTTATCAAGCTTGTATATTTAAGTTCAGTGATTTCACTTAAATGGCAATGATAATTACCTATTAATTGTAATTTAAGTGAAATTACTGAACTTAAATATAAAAGTTTGATAAAAATCATCATTAAAGAAGAAAATTTCAAATGGCATTTAGAGGCTTTTGCACCTGAACTCTTCAACTATTAATGTAACTGGGTTTCAAAATATAATAATTGTATGATACATTTTTTTATGTTTTAGTATTAAAAGATTGTAGTAATACTTTATTAACCATACGGCCTATTATATATTAAAGTAAAACTTATATTTTTACAACAAAAGTGATTTTATTTTAGCTACTTTTCAAAGGATGAAGGGGTGTTGTTAATTTTACAAGAGTTTTAATGTAAGCTTCATTGAATTATCACCCAAACATCTGTTTACGGAGAGTGTTGCAACTATTTTTAAAATGGCAGAGAGAAATAATGTGGAATTTGTATATATATATATATATAGGAAAAATGTCATGGAGTGCAGATTAGTGAAATGAGCGAAGCTTCAGTGTTGCTTTAGGGACTGTGATTTAGACAGTGAGAGACAGAAGGGGGTGAAAGAGACGGTGTGAGGCAGATTGCAAAAGATAGAGTGAGAAAGGCTTGAATGAGGAGAGGGAAATGATTTTAGACAGTGAGAGACAAAGTGGGAGAGAGTGAGAAAAGGAGAGAGAGATGAATGAGAAGAGGGAGTTGGACTGAGACGGTGAGAGACAGTGATAGAGAGCGAGCTGAATGAGAAAGCAGGGGGTAGACTTGAGCGCTGGTGTAAAAGCTTGTCTCCGCTCAGACAGATCCTCTTCACACCGTCTGCAGTGTTGGGCCCTGGAGGAGAGACTCACTCTCTGTGACGCCAGCATAAAGACAGATTTAGCAGGGGAGGCTGAACAGCAAGTCCACTTCTGAGACCCAAGAGTTTTGGACCTGGTGTTTGTAGAACCTAGAAATTGGTATATGAGCTCTATAAGCTCTCTATTCTTTGTTTTTGCTGAGACCTGTTTGAATTTGACGGGCCTTTTGGCCCATTTTTTTGTAATCATATGGTGTACTGTAGTTACAACAACTACCAGTCCAGCTAACTGGATTATGCTATCCATTTGAACCTTGTGCGCTTGATAGCACTACACATCACCAGCCAGGTTTAGGACCTGACTTGGAGTCAGTCTCACTCTTTACAGTATGAATCAGAGGCATCCATATGTACAGTAAGAGGACATACAATAGGCCTATGTCACGAAAAAAATGAGGACCGGAAGTATGTCTTTTAGTAGGGATACGGCTCTTTCGGTTAGCTTTTTACAATGGTGGAGTCCATAGATACCGCTTCACCAAATCTCTCCACGAACCTGCCTGAAGTCACATATGACGATGTGGTTCGGATGGTAAATGAAAACTCTCAAGTGGGAAAGTGTGAAAGCTAAGGTATGGCTGTCCTGATGCAGAGCAACCCGGTACACTACAATAACAGCCGCGGGTAGGTCTAGCCGTTCGCCAGTAAGGTAAACGTTTTTATGCTAACAGCGAGTTCGACCAATCGGCTGACGTTGCTACTACGCTTAGGATTTGTGGGTAGTGTAGTTTTTTTTCATAAGATCACGGATAAAACATTTTTCTTTAAACAAGATTGAATTCATACAAACTAAATAAGCTTCAAAAATTATTGAAGCTTATTTGAAGCTACAAAATAGCTTCAACAGGAGCAAAAACCTTGCTCCTTCCTCGAGGAATACTGTTGACCGGAAGTTCTGTATCCCTACTCCGCGTTCCGGAAGCAGGAAGTGTGACATTGGCCTATAAGCTTGTATCTTCCTCAAGTTGGAGACAGAGAAAAAAAACTACAGACGCCTATTTGAGATTGGCTGAGAGCATGATGAGTGCGTTAACATGCTTTATACCTCACAGTCGCTGGATCAGTGTATGTGTGTGTGTGCACGTGTAACAGAGCAATTGTGATTCCTCTTTCACCTTTCACGCTGTGTGTGTGTATCCTCGGTGATTGTTTATTTACATACTATTTTTGAACTGTCTGTACATGTATATGTTCAGACTGCAAATTGTAATACATAAATAAATATAGCATAAAATCATAAATGATGCATAGATTCACTTGTATTATTTAAAATTAATTTTGGCGGCATATACAGTATATATATATACTGTGTATATATATGTGTGTGTGTGTGTGTGCACACATTAGACAAATTTGCATGTTTTAAGACTATTCCTCAGTACTCCAGCATAGATAATCGTTTTGTTTGTGGATTTCCTGTTTTCTTATCCACAGCTGCAGTGAAATCAAGGTCTTTTCTAATGTTTGTAGAAGGACACAACTGTAAATCAGAGACATTGTTTAACCTTAAAAGATTAAGTCTTAAAAGCATTTTATTCAAATTGGCTCAATTAAATGAATCATTGTAATTCAGACCTGGTTTCCTTTTTTTTAAGTGGCAAATAAAAAGAAACAAGCTTTTCTCTATTATTCTAGAACACAGACACAGTCAGAACAGCCTTGAGTCACGGAGATCAAGCAATCATTGTGTGTGTGCGTGATTTTTATTTCAGCCAGCTTTGCCACTGCAGTTGTTTGAATGAATTAATAATAATTATCCAGGGTAGTTACACATGTTTGGTTGTTTTTCTCCACTGGGTTAATCATTTTCTGCATCTTTTTTAAGTAAAGTGATGGGCTATTTAGGACCACATTGATATTGCATGTTCACATTCTTCAAAAAAATGTTGTGTTCTGCAAAAAAAAAAAAAAATAGAAAGAAAGAAGCTCACACAGGTTTGGAATGAGACTTCATTTACATTACAAATCCAATAGGCTCAAATGCATTTCAGATTCAAAAATGTGTTAGTCCGTGATCAGATCACCATGCATCCTGCGTGCATTTTTGCCATTTTTAATGTGATCAAGTGCTATCCGATTGTAATCACAGAAAACATGCTTATGCCAGGTGTCAAGGGAGCCATAGTGTCCGATTTCAATCAGCTCCATATCATCCTAGCAGATTACCAGTGAGTTTACGTTCATTTTTTCTCTGAGAGGAAGATGCCAGACCCCGACAGAGAGAGTGAGAACGGCGGGAAGCGAGAACTAGTGAAGGATCTGTGTGGGAATAATCCCCTCCCACACATCAGTGAGAAGAGTCTCTGTGCATCTGGATGGGTGTGCGCGTGTAATTGGTTTTCTGCTACAGAGACGAGCGTTAGCATGTTCCACCAGGCAGATTGAAGCCAACTGCGTCACGCCTGCCTCTCAGGAGTCGATGGCCTCGGGAATAAAAAACATGCACACATGGCGGCTGGGCACCAATTAACATCTCTTTTTCCCCTGTGTGCTGTCTTTAACTCTCTGTTATGTCTCTCTCCACTTTTGTTTTGCCATTACACTGCAATCCACACATACTGTATGCAAAAGCAGGATGTATTGCTCTTGGGAAAGAGTAGGGTGACATACACATACTCTTATGCTCTTCATAGTTGCATTTATTCAGTTAAATCAATTATATTGTGAAGTATTATTACAATTTAAAAGGACTGTTTTCTATTTTTTATATTTAATAGCATCATTGCTCATTTTAAAAGGCTGATTTGTGCTCAAGAAATTTTTTATCAATGTTAAAAAAATTGTGTTTCTTAATATTCCTGTGGAAACTGATACTTTTTCCAGGAATATTTGATGAATAGGAAGTTTAAAAGCATTTTGTATATCATTATAAATGTATTTTTGTCACCTTTGATCTATTTAATATGTCCTTGCTATGAAAGTATTCATTTCTTTTAAAAAATAATATTGCTGACCCAAAACATTTAAACGGGAATGTATCGAAGAATGGCAGAAAAATATATGGAAAGTAAGAGAACAGAAGAAATGCTACAGCCTTGGAACTGCGTAGAAACCACTCGGAATATGCCGTCTCACTACTCACAGACTCTTTAATAAAAGTAAAAATCTATTTACGGACATTTGACAGACCGACACAATAGACATTAAGCTGGACTCATGAATTAGACTCAATAGAGAGAGTGAAATAGTAGTGAAAGGAGAGACGAGGGGCCATCTGTTCCAGTTTGTGCAGATCGGCGTGGAGTGGAACACAGCAGGATCATGTCCTCAAAACACACAGAGAACGTTAGCGAGGAAAAAAAAGAGTCCAACATGTAAAAACAAACCTTATCTGACCCATAGTGTTGACGTCCAGAGAATCGGTCTGTTCTGACAAGTGCTTGACATCAAACCTCAGTCTACAATTAATACCGTGGTCCATATTTTTTCTTCATTACTCCTCTCCTTGTCCCTCTTTACTTTTTTTAATTTTTAATTTTTTATATGAACTTCTTGGCTGGACATTGTCAGGCAATGCTATGATCCCTTCCAAAATCCAGTATTCGAGAGAAATTTTAACTATAAATTGAATTTCTTGTAATTCATTCAATACCAAAAAGTATCAATAAAAACTTTAATTCTAATTTAAAATGCACTCGTTCCCCCTAGTATTTTTATTTCCAATGTATTTTATGCTTAACTGGAACAGATGGCCTACTGCTTCTTTGAGATTTTATTTTGTGCCACACCAGAAATTGCGTTGCAGAACTTTTCCGTGAACAGTTCTTAAAGGGATAGTTCACTTTGAATTGAATTTTTGATGTTTTAGCTTACCTCAAGGACATCCAAGATGTAGGTGTCTGTTTCCACAGTATTTTGATATTTTTAGGTCAAACTGTTGTTGTCTATCAGTCATATAATGGAGGTATATGGGGTCCACCTCAAAGAGCATGCGCAGAGAAGTCCAAATTAAACATGATTTAATGACTTGTAAATGTAAGTACACATTGATGGCCTAAGACACGAAACAAGCGGTTGATGTGAGAAAACGAACAATATTTATATCGTTTTTACCTCTTGTAATCACAGTCACGTCCAAGTACTCTGAGGGCGAGGGCACTTCTGTCTGCGCTAGTGCCGGAAAGCCCCGGAAGTGATCTCTCGTGTACGTCACTCATTGTTTACACAAAGATTTCAGAAGTGTTATCCTTCACTGTGAAGATCTAAACATATTTAGATATACAGGAAATTGCAATGGAAGACGATTTAGATATACTGTATCAACAGACAACTTCCGGCGCTTGCGTAGACCGAAGCGTCCGTGTCTTGAGATCACTTGGATGTGACTGTGGTTACAAGAGGTAAAAACAAATACTGTTCATTTTCTCACACAAACCGCTCATTTCGTGTCTAAGGCCATCAATGTGTACTTACATTTACGAGTCATTAAATCATGTTTAATTTGGACTTCTCTGTGCATGCTCTTTGAGGAGGACCCCATTTACCTCCATTATATGACTGACAGACAAGAAACCACAGAAAGCAGAAAAATCCCATCAGTTGCGGGCAAAGACTCGCGCTTTTCACACTTTTCACATAAGATTTTCACACTCAGCCTATCCTCACTTTTGAACTCTGCAATGTAGACAGCAAGACAGCTCACTAGATTTCTTTTTTGGTGTTTTCGGGTGGAGAGGAGGGGATAGTACAGAAGATAATCAAATAGTCTTATCTGATCAAAGGTCTTGATATTGTGATGTTGGAATGGATTCTGTACTAATCTATCATTTTCTCACTTTTCTCTTCTAGCTGGAACAGAAGCAGGTGACGCCACCGTTCAAACCTCAGATCACAGACGACTACGGTTTAGAAAACTTTGACACGCAGTTCACCAACGAACCCGTGCAGCTAACACCAGACGACGAGTAAGTATTGAAAAATGTTATGCTTGGCTGAAGGGCATTTCATTACCACAAATGATCAGTAAAGATCTATGACAGAAGAATCAGTCCACCTGTTTTCCAAAGACCTGTTCAGTTTCTTAAAAACGCTAATACGACTGGACTCGTGTTTGGTGAAATACGTCCGAATTTGAATTATGAAAAGATAAACTGGCATCTCCTTCCACACTTTAACATCTTCCAAATGTTTAAATGAAAATTAAAGTCAGTCGTCACTTCTGCGGAATCCATCTCGAGAGCGATTATGTAATAATTTAACGACTTCAAAGTTACACGACTGCACCAGGAGAAGATTTAGGCGTTTAATAACGGGGGTTTCCACTCAGCTTGATTCTGCTGGTCAGGATGGTGAGGTTTATGTCTAAGATTCCCCTTCAGAAGTGAGAGCGAGATGAAGTGAAATGGCTTACCCATCTGGAGGCTATCGTCTAGAGGTGGTGATGTCATATGGAAACATCCCCTCTGGAGTTTCTGATTGCTTTACAGTATGAGGTGCACCGAAAAGGGCCACATTGAAAGGGAGGACAAAGAACAGCTCTTAAACGGCTAAAAACCTGATGCCGAGAGGCATTAAAAACCATAGATTCAGGTGGAAACTGGCTTCAATCAGTGTGAAGTGAGTTTCTAAGGGGGCTTTTAAGCTTTCAAGTCTTTTCTTCAGTCGCCCATTCATAAAGTCGGCCCTTTTGAATACCGCTGTGATTAAAACAAGTGCTAAAATAAGAGGCTAGTCGACTCGGTGCAAAAAATGTGCATTTATTTGATAGTGGAGGATTGTTGGTTGGCTCATTGCATGTCTGAATACATTTAGGTCAGTTGTTGAGGTCTCACCCCATTTCTCTCAAGAGATTCTTCAGACATTCCAGTCATTCTTCATAGAGGACAATCACACCAGGCTTTGAGACGTATTGTTCTGTAGAGGTGTATTTCTCTGGAGAGGGACTCCGGTCTTCACAATGACTTTTATGTCTGGCTGAATTTGTTATTCTGATTTGATCCATAGAGGCCGGCGGCCCTCAAGCTACTGAAAAGAATTCCTGTTTTCAATTTACATTAAATGGAGCTCGTAAAATGCAGCTCAGAAAGAGGGCGGCATCTTTGATTAACAACGTGATTTAGTACCATGACTGTGCATTCAAAACATACAATGCTTACCAGGGTTATGCAAAATTTACAATCGAAGAATTAGTTCCTCTTCAATTAATGAGTGTGAATTTAAATTAAATTGGCCACAACTTACAGGAAGAGTAATTTACTCAATTCAAAGCCCTTTAACACAGAATAAGACCTATCTATCTATCTATCTATCTATCTATCTATCTATCTATCTATCTATCTATCTATCTATCTATCTATCTATCTATCTATCTATCTATCTATCTATCTATCTATCTATCTATCTATCTATCTATCTATCTATCTATCTATCTATCATTCTAGCCATCATTCTGTCTGTCATTCTATCTATCTATCTATCTATCTATCTATCTATCTATCTATCTATCTATCTATCTATCTATCTATCTATCTATCTACGTATCAATCAATCTATCTATATATCTTTCTGTCTATCTATTGATCTATTGTTCTATCATTCTATCGCTCTTTTTGTCATTCTATCTATCTATCGTTCTGCCTGTCTGTCTATCTATCTATTGTTTTATCTATCGTTCTAGCTATCAGTCTGTCTATCTATGTATCTATATGTCTATCTGTCTATCATTCTATCGTTCTATCTATAGTTCTATCTGTCTGTCATTCTATCTATCTATCATTCTGTCATCCTAATCAGATGCGACATCATTCTGCGACACACGATAAAAGGTGTATTTTCAATGTTAATCAGAGTTGCGGTAACCCAATGGTAACCCAACCAGTGGTAACCCAACCAGCTGCGACAGTGATACACGATGATTCTGTTTCTGTGACAACAACTAACAAAGTATGACAATGATAATCTTGGGCACTGATCATGGCCTTTATTTAATGTGTGGACAGACAAATTGCCTGTCTCTGGAATCTAATCACATCGTGTCAGGTTAGGACATGGTGTAATGCTTTTGAATGAGGTCATCATATATCTTGAGGTGATTTGATATCTTTCCTCTCCGTGAGAAGCCCACGATGCACCTCGTTCTATATGAACACTAACCGCTGAATACACAATCATTGCAGTCTACAAGTCGATTGAAGTCAATTTGCCGGTAAACCTGTCACTCATAATTAGCAGAAGCGCAAGTGGGCCGCAGTCAGATGAACTGACAGACAGTAATCTAAAGAGCCACGGCGGGTTCTTAGTTCAATACGAGATTTTCCAAGCAGGCTTCAAAGGAACGCAGCAGCCAGACACTTCAAAAGCAGAGCAAGCTCTGGAAAAGCATGACGTCCCACACGGTGGAGGAGAGGAGGAGGGGGAGGAAGTGATGGAAGCCTTTTTTGTTTGACTGATCTGGCAGACGAAAAAAGCGGGTTGGGGGGGGGGGGGGGGGGGGGTGAAATCCTTCCTTGTAAGAGATTTAGTCTTTTGGATTAAAGGAATGTGCGTCCAGAGTGGGATGTGTCTCAGAGCCCAGCGGAAAAGGATGAATCCATTGCGACTAGAGACACGATTCCCTTTTACATGCTCAAACAAACCACTTATAAAAGAACTTGGATTCCCTGTGTATTGTTTTCTAGTTTAGTTGACTACACAAAATTTGCACAAAGTACTCTACCGTTCAAAAGTTTGGGGTCAGGGAGATCATTAAATTGATCAAAAATGACAGTAAAAACATTTACAATGCCACAAAAGATGTGTACTTCTGTTCCTTTCATTGTCACTCCGAGTTCCATCGGATGACGACGAATGGGGTTTCGCTTATCCACAAGTTTCCTACGCCCCATGAGGCCTTGCGTCAAAAGTGGGCGCGACTTCCGGTTGGAAGTAAACAAAGCGCGATTTGACATGCTTGACACTCGTTCATTCAACAGTTGACGGTCATTCAAGTTATAGCGATCCAAACTAGCTAACGATGTGGGAACACAACCTCAACGAAATTCAAAAGGGTGAAATAACAGTACCTTTACCCTCCGCAGTAGTTGATTGGGAGTATTATAATAACATTATTAATAATCAATACTCATCCAGTCATGGTGACAGACAGTTGTGTGAGCTGACAAACAATTAAAATAAAAAATACACACTTAGTCATTGTGCTTTGAATTATAAATGAATGTGCTACTTGAATACATTAACTGGCATATTTTTATTCTGTCAACACAGGCTTTGATCCTGAGTTTAGCTGTAACATCAGTAGCGAACAGCCAATCACATGCTGAGAGAGTTTATAGAATATTAAGAATTTAAACAAATGTACACAGAAAGATTCGTCATCTTTTGGGAGGTGATGGAAACTACAGTCGTTGGCAGGATCAGAGACGGGCTCTGGCAGGATCACTCTGATTTCGTTTTCAGCTTATGTTCAAAACAATCACGTTTAAGCCACTGAATTAGTTTAGTCCGGTTATACATACAACCGCGAACAGCACATGTTGTCCTTGAGCTCCGTAACGACATCTTTCATAAAGATTTGCGTCTTTAAATAGTAAAACAATTCTCCGAAAAACAGCTAGCCTCTTGGCTAACTAACACACAAAATACCATTGGAATGCATCTTCCGCCGCGTCACTCGGAAACTTGTGGATAAAGCCTATCGACTTTGAGTATTACAAAACGCCAAATGGCAAAGAAATGCCATGGGTCTGCGGAATTTGCATGGCCTAACTCCGTGACACATCTTCCAGGGTTGCTACCCTACTGGTGAAGGGTATGATTGAGGCACAAGATCCTCTCACGACTCAACCCATTGCATTATTCCCTGACCAAGGGCACGCTCGGCACGGATACACTGGCGCACAGCTGGCCGTGGGGCCACAAATATGTGTTTCCCCCAGTGAGCCTCCTTGCGCAGACCTTGCGCAAGGTCAGGGAGGATGAGGAGCAGGTCTCTTTGGTCGCGCCTCATTGGCACACCCGGACCTGGTTCTCCGAACTCGTGCTCCTCGCAACAGCACCTCCCTGGCCAATTCTTCGGAGGAAGGACCTCCTTTCTCAGGGACGGGGCACCCAATGGCACCCTCGTCCCAATTTTTGGAACCTCCATATGTGGCTCCTGGATGGGACGAGGCAGGTTTGAGTGCCCTACCACCGGCGGTGGTGACTACCATCACTTCGTTCACGAGACACGCCTACGCGTTGAAGTGGAACCTCTTTTCGTCTCCTGGTGCTCTTCTCACAGAGAAGACCCCAGAAATTTCCGATCAGTGTCGTGCTTTCCTTCCTGCAAGACGGGTTGGAGCGAAGACTGTCTCCCTCCACCCTGAAGGTCTATGTTGCCGCTATCGCCGCACACATGACCCAGTTGAAGGTAAGTCCGTGGGAAAGCACAACCTGATCATCAGGTTCCTGAGAGGAGCGAGGAGACTGAATCCTCCTCAACCTCTTGTTCCCTCTTGGGACCTTTCAGTGGTTGTAACTGCCCTGCCGAGTGCTCCCTTTGAGCACAGGAATTTACGCAGGGCAGTGGAAGACAGCTGTGAAGGTGGCGTGATTAGACTTGTAACCCCATTCGTCGTTATCCGACGGAAAGGGAACATCTCGGTTATGTATGTAACCCTCGTTCTCTGAGTAGAGAACGGAGGCGATCCTTGTACAAATCCCAATCTTTTGATAGAGTAGATTTGTAATTGCACCATATGTCGTTTATCTACACAAACCTTTCATTTGAAGTAATGTCCTTTCATTAACCAAATGTTCTCATTACCCATCACAATAATCTTGTTTTGAAAGGAAATGTGAAAAGAAATGTACAGCCCTAATGAAAGCGCAGGCTTTAATGAACAGCTGTTTAAAGTGTTATCAGTTTGGAGTTTTGTTCAAAAAGCTGTGTAGCTTTTGTGCAAATTTGTTTAAGCTCCACCTTGTAATCTTTTTCTAAAGAAACATTTGTGCAGTAAAGAGGCTTGTTTATTTTGATCAGTGCCCAGAATGTCCGTCTCGCTTTGTTTCTTCCTCTGTGGCATCACACATTTCCCCCCTGCACTCCCTTTGAAACCTGAGCCTGATATTACAGCATAGAGGTGTCATTCATGTTATTTTAGGTTTCACTCTTTCTGGAGGCATTTCGACCCCACACACACCCACATACAGTCAAGTGGCCCTCTGGGGACTTTATTCAAACAGACACAGCACAAACCCAATTGGGCGCTGATCCCGGATCTGGTGAAATATCAGTCCTTGCTGAGCTTGTTGGAGAGGAGAATTGCCCTCCATGGACCGTGTTTGACAGAACGTGATAAACTAGTTTTGAATCGTCTCAGCATTACGCCATAGAAGTGGTGGAGCATTACAGCGGTGTAGTATCCTCAACAGGCTGATAAAATAGATCAATGGATTCCTGAGGTTCTGGAAACCAAGAGGTCTCATTTCAGCAAGAATCTTACCATCTCTTTAGACATGTAAAGGATTGTTGCCAGTGCAGAAAATAGCCAAGAGGAGAAAGACGCCGCTGAATTTCTCAGTTGTACTCTAGTGTAATTCTGTCTGCCCACTGCTGTAGTTAAAGCCCCCTTTGTGGTTAACCAGCCCCTTGACGCTGATGTTATTTCTGTTGCATTTACAGATAAGTTTACATATTGCCCTGCAGAATATAAGAAATAACAATAATAATAGATGCAATCTCAAGATTGAAATTTTGACACATGCTGCTAGCCCAAGAATTTTCGTTTTCTGTGGTAGTGTCTGGTTGTGTATTAAGAAAGTCCCCAAGAAAGTACTTTTATTGTATATTTTTAATTTAATTTTGTGGGAAAATAGCTCTGTTCTTTCCAATTCAATCTATTGTTGAACAAAGAGAAATATTACAAATCACACTGGAAATAGAAGGTCAAATTGGGCATTTTCAAAATACTCTTCTCGGCCATGTTTGAAACTTCGTATTGTTGGCTCTTCTCGCATTATTGCCTCCTCCTCTTTGCTTTATTCTTCATTTGTAAGTCACTGTGAATAAAAGTGTCTGCTAAATTAATAAATGTACATGTAAAAGATTTGATGCCAGCAACTAGTTCTGCCCTGCAATGCTTATTAGTACCTATCGGAAATTCAGTTGACCAAAAACTACACTACCCACATTCTTTGCTTTAAGCCACAGTGCGGGGCATGAAAAGTCGAATTGTAGCTCGGTCAATAATAATGTTGGTTTCTCTCCTCAGGGATGTGATTAAGAGAATAGACCAGTCTGAGTTTGAAGGATTTGAGTACATTAATCCTCTGCTGCTCTCCACTGAAGAAACCATATGAGGGAAGAACAATACGGCCGATGTTTCTCTGCCTGCGGCTCCTTGAGACTTCTACAGCTGAGTTTAACTCAGACTATGTGTTCACAGAGAAGAGCTTTTCCTTCAAACTGCGTTAAAGACAAAAAGCAACACTAAGACTTCAAGTTTTGGACCCTCCCCGAGTTATTTTAGGATTACACTGGAAGAAGAACAACTGGAGGAACTTCAGAAAACCAACTCAGAACTATTCCCCATATTTCAGCTGTTGATTGTCTTCCTGCTTCCCAGCGTCCTCTTTAATTTTGACACTCATCTTTGTGTGAATGTGCGCGCACTGTTGCCTGGGACTCAAGTTAGCTCCATCGATGTGTGCCTGCGTCCTTCAGAGACTACATTTCCCATCAACCCTAGCTGAATATGACAGTTCTAACTTAATGTGCACTTTTTATTTTCTGTTCGACTTTTTCTTTTCTTTTTTAAACCTCTTGAATCTTGTGTGAGGTGCGTCCTCAAGCAAAACAAGAATGTATAATGTTTAAAGGTAAATGTTGTATTATAGTGTAGGTAGCCAATTGAAGAATTTATGATGCCTTCTATGATGCAAAGTGGCACATTTTAATTCATGACCATGATGGTTTCCTAAACAGTGGGTAGCTGTGCTTCAAACCACATGCTTTTAACCACTCGCGTTGATTTTACTGAGTAAATGGGAGATAAAATGTGTTTTTTTGAAGAAGTGCCTCAAAGATCCAAAATTCACCATGCTCCAAACTGCTCTGAACTCCATGTTTGATCAGAGTTGATTTTCCAATGCACCATCCAATGAGAAATATGCAGGTGTTTTTTTTTTTTATTGATTTTTTTTATACTTAACATAAACACTGATACATATGTTGAAACCAAGACAAGGTTAGACACTGAATAATCACAAAGCCCAAATACATATTACCAGCCTAGGCTCATTGGAAAAATCTGTCCCTACTTACATTTTTGCATAACTTCAAAAACAGTTTCCAACTGAAATGAACACTAGTGGCAATAAAACACCTACAACTTTCAATCCAGGCAGGTTATTGATTAATAAAGACTTATTTTCTAGCAGTTCCTTGCACAATACTATATTACGACCTGAAAACACTTTTACCATAGTGCATGATTTGTAAACTAATACATTTTGACGCTTACATCACATAATCAGCTCTAAATGGCTATTCTGGTGTAACAAACTTGCTTGCTAGCTCACCTAGTACCGCATTGCGCATGTGATGTGGAATGTCCTGTGTACGAGTCCTGTGAAACACAAGTCAAGATAAACGAGCTCAAAGGCGCGTAGAAGCAAGCTAAAATTGCGTTTTTTAGTGCAGGTGCTACGTTATTTTCAAACGCAACAGTGCATTAACCTTTTTGCTCCACTCACCTGACATTTCATTTCATTCGTACTGCCTCGATATTTAAAACCAACATAATAAAACGTTGCCAAACTCACATTCATCTGTCTCTGATAAAACTGAAATCGCTTTTAGCGCAACTCATTTTTAAATTTCCGCGAACTGAAGCAACTTACATAATTTTGCATAAATATTGCCACAGTCATGATTTTCCAATGAGCCTAGGTTTAATTTTACGGTAGCATTCTTCACAACTGCACACTACATTAGTCAAATAGCTGCTCCTCACTCTGATAAGAGGGTTTTGTGTTGTTGTACTCATGTGATCTGTCGACGTGCTGTTGAGATGTTGTGGAGGGCGAGAGAACACAAACAAGGGGTTTGTACATCATGTCTCTGGTGTGATGTGGTGGTAAAATTGTGCAACAGTGATGTGAATCTCAGATGACCTCAAAGCCCAAATTCAACCCATTACAACACTCAATATACGACACAAATAGCTCAGAATGCTAATCTTATCTAATTTTATTACAGGCTATGTTCGGAATAGAATTCTAGCCTACTAGTTGTCGTGTATTCTGTATTCTACTATTTTTACTAATAGTAGGTGAAATGATTGTCGATAAACATCAGTATGCTGTCACATGGTATCTTGCATATAAGCAACTTATTTCAGAATCTTTGTGTCAAAATGCTGTTTGACAGGGTTCCCACGGATCCTTGAAATCATTTAAAGTTTGTGAATCTGAAAAACAAAATTCAAGGCCCTGGAAAGTTTTTTAAAAATTAGATACAGGTCCTTGAAAGTGCTTGAATTTATTTTGTACCAGAGCTTTTCCGGGGGAAAAAAAACACTAATGTGGTATTTTGCCAACGCTTCGTGGCCTATGCACACTAGCTTACTTGATTTAATTACACACATTTACGCGTTACATTAAGTGTTTCCCGCGTGAGGTACTTTGTTATATGTTGCCATGATGCAAACGAAACCGCTGCGATGGTACCTTAACGTTTCACAGACACACCGTGAAACTTTGCAAAAATAGGCTGAAACCACTGAAACGTGATGCCTGGAAAACGCAAGTTTCAAGATATTTGGAATATTTTATAATGTATTTGATCTACACAATGTCAGACTGATCTCATGAAATAGGGTGTGTATGACACGCCAATTCGTATTTCCATTTTTGGCGCGCTATCAAGACGCATAATCGCTTTTTAGCGTGTTTATGAACGCCGTTGACTTAACGTTATTACTGTATAAATAAATATATGACTTACCTAAACCCCTACCCTAAACCTAACCGTCACTGGGGTTAGTGGCATTTATGACTGTTCCCTTACCATCCTAGGAAAAAAAAAATCTCTCCCCAGATGTAGATCTACATTTTGCTTCGTTTCGTGCGGACATTTGACGGCGTGTACAGACAAGCGGAATCACTTGGACGTTAATGGCGTAGACATACACGGATACACGCGGATAGCTCAAAATCAGTAGAGATAACACGCCACTTGACTCGAAAATGGCGTGTATGTTTACGCAAAAGTCATGATGTCATGTTGACTATGTCGACCCCACATTAAGTCCTTGAATTTGAGGGTATTGGACCTGGAAAGTCCTTGAAAGGTCCTTGAATTTGAAGTTAACTGAGGTGTGGGAACCCTAGTTTGACAAAATGAGCCAAAAAAAAAAAAAGAGATGGAAATTGAAGGTCAAGTTGTGCGCATTGCATTGTGGGATGCAATATTCTGTGCTGTGTGTGTCTTGGCAAATGTAGTAGATCATCTGGGTATCCCATGCCATGGCGCAGTGGATGGGACACATGCCTTTGGTGTGACCGACACAGGTTCGAATCCACTGTGAGACACCAATGTGTCCCTGTGCAAGACACTTAACCCCTAGTTGCTCCAGAGCCGTGCGACCTCTGACATATTTAGCAATTGCAAGTCGCTATGGATAAAAGCGTCAGCTAAATGAATAAATGTAAATGCATACTGTGCACAGTATACATACTGCAAAGCTGGTGAAAGTATCATGTTAGTATCCTATTCCGAACATAGTGGTACACTCCTCACTTTTCCACTAGGGAAACACAACTAAAGCACCAGGCCCATTAAAGGGCTTTCAATTTTACTTCAAAAAAAAAATTCCCTTTAAAGAAAAAAACAGCCAATCACAGGCTAGCTTGTCTGATTAATCCCTCGCAGTGATAAAAGTTTGGTGTTATTAAGCAACTAGATATGTTTTCTATCTTCTGTTGCGTTTAATCTCCAAAATGTATTTTTTTTACTTCCCTTTTTTTCCTGAAGAGTGAAGACAACACTCTTAGATGTGAATGCTTTGAAGAAATCAGACCTGTATGAAGAAGTGCTACCATGTTAACAGGATTAATTAGCTGCTTTTGTGTCAGACAGTAGTGAGATTAGCAGACGGGCTCAGAACAAAGAGCGGCCCAGGAGATAACAAGCGTGACGAACGTAACGATAACGAGGCAGAGAGCAAAGCCAGATTACCCCAACGTGTTTTCAGCTCTAATGAAAAGCTGGTACAGAAACAGCCACAAAATTTCCACTTTTTATGAATGATAAATGAATTGTTTATGACAGGAACTTCAGGTGAATGCAAACTGCCAACAAGTGGCAGTATAGTTTGATAGGGCCATTGTTGGTGCAAATTTTCAGGTTCTTAACACAACCGTGGCCCTACATGACATTATTTGACTTAAAATTCTCCTTCATTTTCATTCCTGTAAACCGATGAACAGGTACAGTGGTGTATTACAGAGTAATAAACAATCTCCATCAACTTAATTTTCCACCAGCTCAATCTAATGTACAGAATCCACGTGGAACAGTCAGATTTATGATCGTCCTTTGTTTTGATTTTATTCATGTTTATATTTGAACTGGAATGAGTTAAGCATAATTGTAAATATCTGTTATTTAACCCTTAAGAATTTTCACAAAAAGAGAGAAATAAATCTGTTTCTGCACCATCATAAGAGATCTCTGAATCCAGTGTCCCAACAGCTAGTCTCAAACTTAAAATACAAGTTCCTGTCCCTGAAAACACTTTGGTTATTTATCAACCTGCCAAATCCAAAAGCCGTCGCAAGCTGTTTTCTGCTATTCTTTCTTTTTCGGTTCTTTCCATATGTTGAGTCCAAAGCAAATGACGCTCTTATCAATGTGCTACAGGGGAATACTTTTATATTTGAAGTGTTTGTTTTTTAAATTATTGTAAAGGAAAGCTCCAGTAGAGTTTCTGTGGGCTGAGGGTGGGAGAGCGAGAGAGATGTGAACATGTCTTTGGTTTTATGAAGTTAAAGTCTTAAGCATCTTAGATAACAACTGTAAATCAGTAAATGTTCATTGTAATGACTTCACATTTCCTGTCTCGTGATTTCTGGGTGTGGAGATGGAAAAAAAAGAAAAAGAAAAACAACAATGGTCTTTGAGAGAACACTGTCTTTATTGCATAATGCATATTGTTTTTCTATCATTTTTTAGAAGAAATACTTAACAGGTCCTCCGGTTACAGTAATCAAAATATTAAAGTAATATTTCGCAAGCACATGCAACGTAAAGCTACTAAGGAAAACACAGGTATCCAAAAATAACAGATTTTCATTATCATCACCAAATAATATCGTCATGCATCTCTGATAAACATTGTGCAAGATGGCCATCACATTCCATTTGGGTGAACCTGAAAGAACAGAGAACACATACAAGTTTTTAATAATAGTGAGCTGTACAAAACAATACACACACAATAGATCCAATACACAATAACTTAAAAGAAAGCAACGCCACTTCCAGTAATCTGTGGTTTGTAAACCCAAACATGGGGGTGCCAAAGCAAGACCGTTTCTTTCTTGCACAACGAGCAGGTTTGGAAACAAAATGAGATTTTTGAGTCATGATAAGTTATTGATCCCTCACTGTCTTTCAAAAACAATTTGGGAATAAAACATGTTGATGTAAGTTTTGGACTAAAGCTGTTTACAATGTAGCTGATCCCCTGATGTCACTCAAAAAACATTTATCTGGAAACACTTCAATAATTTACAATCCTCCTTAGATTTCCCCTCGGTATCCAACAGTTCTTAACATGCATTTGCTTTGAAAACATCTCTGAATACAATTCAAGACACTCATTTTAGTAACACTTTACAATAAGGTCCCATTAGCTGATGTTATGTAATGAATTACAGGTTTCGCACAGATACCGTAAAATTTAATTCCAGGACATTTAAAGGAGTAGTTCACTTTAATTGATCATTTACTCACCCCCATATCATCCAAGATGTCCATGTCTTTCTTTCTTCAGTCGGAAAGAAATTAAGTTTTTGTGATGAAAACGTTTCAGGATTTTTTCCATATGATGGGCTTCATTGGGAACCAAACGGTTCAAGGTCCAAATGAGAGTTTCAGTGCAGCTTCAAAGGGCTTTAAATGACACTAGATGATGAATAAGGTTCTTATCTAGGACCCTTCGAGTCATGACTCGAAAAAAGATTTGTTCATTTTGATGAATGCGTTTGAACAGGAGAGTCGCGAACGCTCATCACAGAACAGAGCAAGGCGAGCATTTGTGCTTATAAAACTTAAACTTTATTTATTTTTAAAATGACCGATCATTTTGCTAGATAAGACCCTTATTCATCATCTGGTGTTGTTTAAAGCCCTCTGAAGCTGCACTGAAACTCTCATTTGGACCTTGAACCATTTGGTTCCCATTGAAATCCATCATATGGAGAAAATCCTGGAATGTTTTCATCAAAAACCTTCATTTCTTTTCGACTGAAGAAAGAAAGAGATGGACATCTAGGATGACATGGGGGTGAATAAATTATCAACAAGTTTTTTTTAAAGTGAACTACTCCTTTAAGGACTTTTCAAGCATTCATTTTTTTGGTTTTCAAGGTCTACAATCAGAGATCTCACTTATCAAATCAATATCTTTATTATTTTTTCAAATAAACAAGGTAAATAGATCATTAAAAATTATTAACAATTAACAATTAGTTACCCATATTCAAACTATATTTTTTTCATGTGTGTGTTCAGCAGAAGAATGAAATTCATACAGATTTGGAACAACTTGAGGGTGAGTAAATGACATAATTTTAATTTTTTAAAAACTAACCCTTTAATGCTAAAGAACGGTTGGTGGCATTTTGTAGTAGCAGACACAGAAAACTACAAGTGAATAAATCTTATAGTAGTTTACTGATGTGTGCACTGAAAGAAACCACCAATGAAAAATGTATTTTAGTACACTGCCAGCTAACAAGCACACATAAACTGCGAGGTCACCAGGTCTCGAATTTGACTTTCCAATGACCGTTTCGACAGATCCTTTCTCCCCCAAAAAACGACACTCAATTCCACTCGCATTCGTTTGTTTGTATCCCCTTTCCCTTTTGACTCCTTCCTTTCCTCTCTAATCACTTTTCCAACCCAGACGGCTTGATGCTTCCCAGCAGCAAACCTCAAAACCATTCTGTGAATCTACACGTGCCAACCCACCAGTGCAGTTCCCTTGATTCCCTCCATCAAGATTTCCATCTCTTCACCAGTCCTGCCCTCCGCTTGTATCGACGCCCTCGGAAACTCGCTCTCTATATCTGCCTCTTTCTCTATGTGTCCTTCTCTAGACAAGAGCGTCCATTGTGTCTCTCTCACGGGGCCGCCTGTGTTCTGCTGTGCTCTGCAGTCTGGCCAATGTACACACGGCGGGCAGAGAGCGGGCAGCGGCGCACGCCAGCCCTGCACCTCCAACAAAGCGCTGCCTTGTTCTGCGCCGCTCAGCGCTGCCCACCACGCCGAAGGAGCGCTGCTCTCGGACCTCGCAAGAATCTGGTGACTTTTTGACCCGTTCGGATGAATAACCGTCCTTCTTAGAGTTTCTCTTCCTCCTCTCTTAAAGTACACTCACAGTCTGCCATGTTTCAACATAGTGTTTCCTTTTTCTGAGAAGTGCTCCAAAGTTCACAGGCCTTTCTGGAGAGTTGGCATTGATTAAAGATGGCGGCAAGGTGAAAATGATGCCTATATACTGGTATGTGGTTATAACAGTTCCCTTGACTTTTTATTTCAACATTAAGATTTTTGCTTAAAAAATATATGAATCTGCAAAGATAATCAGGTAAAACTTTACAACAAAGTTCAATTCGTATATATAAGTTAATGCACTAAGCATCATGAACTTAAAGCATGTATTGTAGGTTTTAGGTCTACTGTATACTGTAGGTCTACATATACTACTAATACATTTTTTTAAAGTCGTATTTGTCAACATTAGTTAAGTCCAAGTAAGTTAATACATTCTGGACAAATGTGGGCAAAATAGTTTTGATTTATTTTTAAAAAATACTTCCCTAGATCTGAGCGGTACAAGACTTGCCTACTTTTCCTAAGTTTGCCTCCTAAACCACACAATATTTTTTTTGACTCAATTCTACAATGTTAAGTGGGTGAAAAAATGGGCACCCATAGAAATGAATGTGGAAAAACTGTCATTTAGAGGATTCTAAAATAAGCCAAAATAAGACACCAGGTGACCGCAAAGTCACTTCATCTTTAGGTTTTAGCTCTAATAGCTTATTGGAATGATATTTTAATGTAGTTAAAAAAATAAAATAAAAAAACATAAAAATAAGCATAATTTACAAAGAAAATATGGTACTTTTTGAAGTAAATAAATTCAAAAATACCCCCAAAATTATAAAAACACCATAAATGGATAGACAAAACTTTATCAAAGACAGTAATATAACATTTATAATAAATAAAAATTAGGATCACACCTGAGTGCCCACATTTGTCCACAATAAGGAATAAGGGCAATAAAGTGAATACGGTTTGAGGGCTACCTGATGTTAACAAATGATACCTTATTAGTAGTGTTACCTTATGAATTAATCTTAATGCCTTTTGAATTAAATGTATTATTCTTATAAATAAAAGTACAAATATGATGTATTCTTTTAATTAAGAACTCAGCATCCATAATTATGTTTAAATCATGTCACATTGCAAGACACCAACTTTCCAAAAGTATTTCTTCTTAAACTATTCAACTCATTTCAATGAATTATAATATTATAATATAACTAATTTTTGTAAATCTAAAGACTAGTTTATCATAAAGTACCAGGGCGTTATCATCCAAAACAATCACAGTACCACCTCATCATTAAGTCTCAATTCAAAGTTCCGTGTTGTGTAATACTTTGCGTACTTCATACTATAGTACAACAACAAGAACAGCTGCTAAACGTTGCTATGTTCATCAATCAAAATAAAGAATCAAGTTTTCATAAAGCATTAAATTTAAATCCCATCTGAACTGGATCCTCTGCTCTACATCTGCAGGGATGACATCACTTCCAGGAGCGAGTTACATAACCGTGGCTGTGATTTCCATCTCGGAATGCTCCACCAGCACCCAAGGCGCAAACACTCAAATCCATTCACTTAGGGAAAATAAAATGTCTTTCTCCAACAAATGACTAATTTTATTTTGGCAATTTAAAAAGAGGTGATGGAATGCATGATTCCGTCCACCAACACTTCATCTTACAGCCTAGTTTTGCCAAGGGGTTCATGAGAGAGAGAGCGCGTGTATGTGGCTTTACCTAAAGAGCCAGCTTAACATCTCTACTGCCAAAGCTGATCTCAGTCTTCTAGTCTCTGGTGTTCTAGAACATGGATCAACTCTACAATGACAGCAGATCCCATTCCCTGCTTCTTAGTTTGTGTTGCTGTTCTACAAAATTTGGAGAGTCTTGCCTGTTTAATTGGCGTCTGAAAATTCTAGTAAAGAAGAATTTCCGGTATTGCATTCTGAAATACAAATGTCAATTTATCCGTATTGTTTTCCATTAAGACTATATATGCCAAAACCAACCAACGACAATGTTCATCTCTAGCCAAACCAAATTGGGAAATCTTGGGATATTGTAAGTTATATGCCTTGGACATTTCAAGGAAGCCAATGTATTAACATTACATTGAATAATTCATTGATTTTGTTGCCAACCCTGGTTCTGCATTGTGAAGTTAATCAACTTTGGTGAATGGATTTTTTTTTTTAACTTATTTATATGAAACGTTCACTTACCCTTCAGAAAATGGTATTAGACACATTGGGCAGCAATCCAGTCCTGATCCAGACGCTGATCCAGATCCTTCTGGACCTGATTTTGTTCCTTGCCCCAATCCAGGTCCATCTGCTCCTGAATTTCTTCCCAGCCCCGACCCATATCCGTCAAGTCCTGATTTTGCTCCCTGACCAACTCCAGATTTTGTTCCCAGTCCTAATCCAGATCCTCTTACTCCTGAAATTGCCCCAGACCCTCCTGCTGCAGATTTTGCTCTCTGCCCTGATCCTCCTTGTTTTGGACCAATGACTGATACTAATCCTTCTGTTCCAGGTATTGTTCCTAGCCTTGATCCACCTGCACCTGTTTTTGTACCCTTTCCTGCTCCAGATCCTGTATCCAATCTTGCTCCAGATCCTACTTCTCTTGATCCTGCAACTAATTTTGCTCCAGATCCTCCTGCTCTTGCATCTATTCCTGCTCTTGATCCTGCTCCAGATCCTCCTGGTCTTGATCTTTCATCTATTCCTGCTCTTGATCCTGCTTCCAATCCTGCTCCAGATCCTCCTGCTCTTGATCTTGCATCTATTCCTGCTCTTGATTCCACCTCCAATCCAGATTCAGAGCCTCTTGTAAGCTCTTGAATTTCTGAGACTTTCCCTGCTTGGCCAAATTTGTCACCATGTTTGTCTGACAATTCACGACCCTCAACGCAATTCACTTTGTCTTCTAGGTGGCACTGCTGAGCAGTTTGTCTGTCACATACTGACACACTCTCCTGATCAGGTGAGGGTGTATAATTATCTCGATCGGCGAGTGCTGGTGAGTCAGATTCCCCCATGTTCTTTGCTGCTGGGGGTTGTGAAGGGATCTTGCAGTCACTCACTGGTGGTGAGTGAGTCAGGAAAGATGGAGCTGGGAGATCTGGAGGGGGATCAGCATCTTCATTTGCACTGCACCATCTCCAATCATTTACTTTTTGTACATAAGTTTTCTGATGAAACAGAGAGAAAATCAACCTGTTTTACACAAATTATCAAACTTAATTAGACCTTTCCATTAGCAGCATAATTCACACATAATATATTTGGTGCTGCTTGGATACCAGCTTTGTAAATAGCTCTAAACAACGGTCAAATCAAGTCTCTGTTATGTCATGATGACATAACAGAGAATCAATGGGGGAAAAAATGTATGCCAGAAAACGTTTAACACTCATATTTTTCCACAAAATCCCTTGGCTTTTTAAACATTCCATAATTTATCATCATTTCATCAGATCAAAAAAACATTCAAAAGTATTTCGTCAATGAAAGGAGGTGCTTATTAACCTTCGGACAATGTTGATCATCAACCTTACATTTTATAAGAGAAAACTAAATATATTATAAATATTTTTTTGCAAACCTGTTCCCAAAAAGTAATTTATACAAAAAGATACAAATAATTATTCCCCATGAAATAAAATGCTTAAGGGGCACAGCTAAATATTATGTTTGATAAAATAGTTATTAATTAAAAATTAGAGTTTTAAAACCATAAACAGATGATTAAATTTTGATATTGCTGTAAGTTTTTAATTGTTTGGGATTTGTGCCTCACATGTTATTTGCTATGTGTTTTTAAGTAATGGGACACCAAAGTGTACCATTTTCATGGAAAATGCCATTTATTACATAAACATGATGACCAGGAAAGCACACTACAGCCTTGTTGATCATTCTGGAAAGGACAATTCAGTGGTGTTCATCCTCTCATCTCCATGGAAAATAACATCAAGCCTACTTTTCCCATGTACAGAGGAAAATGTGAGATTTGCGGTCTCAGAGGGTGGGTCCATGAAAGTCACCATGAAATCAAAATGGACATTTCTTATTTTTTATGGCATATTATAGCATTTTTTAAAAACATAAAAAAAAATCATGTTCCCTCCTAATCTTATTTTAGTGAAGGGAATGAAGTGTTCAGTGCATTCGCCTCATAATGTGACTGTATGAGGTCATCTCAGACCGTACAGTGTCTATTTGCATCCAACATTCATTTTAGGACACAGTGCAGAAATTAACACCTCACAAATCATTCATGCTGTATTATACGGTCATACAGCCGTATGAGATCGTATTGCATAAATACTACAATATCTGTCAAACCATTTATTATTTTCCTAGATTATACAAGCGTCGAACCCCTCCCCTTTCATCATGATAACCCGATGTATTACCGTGGATGAAGGTGGGGGGAGCTGTGGAATAGATTCTTCCTGATCTGACTGTAGAGCTGGGCAAAGAGCTCTCAAGGTAAGAGCCCAAAGTCTCTCCGCATCACTTAATTCAGAACTCTCCCACCATCTCTCCCTGTAGCATTGAATATAAAATATTTATGTCAAAATATCAGTACAACTGTTACAGAATTATTTTATATTACATTATTATAAAGAGAGCTTCTTTGCTGAGTATTATATGCAGTATGAGGCTTCCTACCTGCCTGTAACGTTAGATGTTTTGCTGCAGCCACTGTCCTGCACTGTGCACAAACTGTCATTTGACTTCTTGATCCTCGGGTGCTGCTCGGATCTACTCTCTTCGACTAATAATTTCTTCCTCTTCAGTTTAGACATCGTAGTCATTCAGTTGTAAACACTCTGCATCTCTATCAGAACCACATGGCTTATCCAAAACAATGAGAACTACGCGGGAGTTTCTTTGAGCTACTTCCGTGTTCAGTCACAAATGTATTTTTGCGTCAAAGTTGCGCACTGATTGCGCAGTTCGAATGACATTTCGTTGCCGAAATATACGCCATCGTATTTGTATTGTTTATTTGATTATAAAACCAAATATGTGCATTGGCTGAACTTTAGTATGGTTATGGAAACGTTCTTTATTTTAATTTAGTTTCAGTATTCAGTTGAACATTATTAATATTATTATTATTTATTTATGGAATGATTGTTTTACAGTATTGTCAAACCAACAATACACATACATACAAAATGAGTGGAATTATTATGAATATCATCATCAGCAGCAGCAGCATCTGATAAATACCTGAATGCAATATCACTTTGGTTGAAGTGTTTGCCAAATGCATAAAAATGTAAATTATTATTATTCAATTGAATTCAAATTTATTTGTATAGCGCTTTTCACAATACATATTGTTTCAAAGCAGCTTTTGCAGAAAGTCCATTTCAGAAATGTACATGGAAAAATACATTTAGTTAATCATGTAATAATTTAGGGCATAACAATTATGTGTAATGTCAGTCATGTTAGTAAATGTTTTTTTTAATGGATACACAAAATCAACAAGTCGTAACTTAGGGGGGTTTGGTTGCTCTATTGGTCTAATCCCTCAATGGAAATAAACCAACCTGTCCTGGATGACTAATTTATCACATAAATTAGTAGTGATGGGATTGTAAGGATACAAATACACAAGCTTATTAGGAATTGGCAACACCCAAAATAGCAACTAAAAAATTATCCAGTGATCATGGTGACTCGAGAAACCCACACATGATGCACTCTATCAACGTCATTGCATTATGAAGAAACACATGGGGTGAAAAAAACTGAGAGCAAATTTCTGGTGGCCACCACCAAAATAAATGATCCATACGAGGTGCCTTAGCTCTGAGCCCTGGAGAGACTGAGGCAAGGTTTGGAACCATCTCTCTCCCCTGGATGAGAATTCCAGAAGGTTCTAATGCTGACACTGGTGGTTCCATAGCCACACAGTGAGAGAGAGTACAATAGCAGATGAGTTTTGAGTAAGTCTGTTCAGGGATGGAGCCGGGGAGACTGCATCCAGGAAAGAGCGCTTATGTCATTAGGACTTGTGTGAGGCAATGTTGTGAGCCGTCGCCATGGTTGCCTGATGAAAAATGTAAAAATAGCGGGCGCTACCCGAGTCCTTCCAAAAGAAAGCGTTCTCAATGCACTGTGGAAGAAGTGTGAGATGGTGAGGGGAGAATAGGAAAGGGAGTGAAGAGATTAAAGAATGGCCAGTGTGCATGAGATGTTAAATTGCTAGCTAGCTTTTGTCGAAAATCCACAGTGCGTTTAAAAGGGGACTGCCTGAGGCTTCCTGAATGTCGCAAGGTTTCGAATATTTCATATAGGCCTAGGCTATAATTCAGTAAGGAGCCGATTTATTAGTGTTGATTTCGGGCAGATGGTCCGCCTCACCTTTATCGGCTGCGTTATATTTTCATGCTAGTCACAACGATTAACTAAACTTATATTTGCAGTTTTCGATCTGTATCACTTTTGCCCAAATGCTTACATGAATTTGCTGTGGTGCTATCACTGATAAACAAAATATTCTGTGGTGAAATAATACAGAAAAAAAATAAATGTAGCCTAATTTCTACCTGAATAAGTTAGTTCAGGCTAGAATTTAGAAAACAACTAAATTCTTTATTAGTAGCCTACTTCATTTAAGCATTTAAGAAATTAAAGCGTTAATATCACCATTAGGAAATTAGGTAGGCTACTTAACCTACTCAACTTTCTGATACTGGTGTTCCGATCATGCACTGGGGCATGAATAATTAATAAAGTTGTCACTGTTTTCCAGCTGTATTTACATTGTTTTAATTATTGCTTTTGTTGTTAGGATTAGTAACTTGCTGTTTGGTAACATGTGGAGTTCATTTTATATTCACAACATACTCCATTTTGGAAATTATCCAAAATGTTAGCGTTATTGTGCATTGTGTACCTACCAAGTATTGAGATCTCTGTGTTTGAGAAAATGATATTAGTCTTATTAAGAAGATTTGTTGTCCACTTAATATCAACTGTATAATTTACTTAAAGGCTGTATCAGAGATTTCAGGCCCAAACAAAAATGATCACATTCATCTAATCTTTCCTAATGATCCGCTAGCTGACGCCCCATAAGCAGGACATTTTTCCTATTTAAAACTTGACTCTTCTGTAGTTACATCGTGCACCAAGACCGACGGAAAATGTAAAGTTGTGATTTTATAGGCTGATATAGGAACTATACTCTCATTCCTACATAATAATCAAGAAACTTCACTGTCGCACCATGAGTGCAGCAGGTGTAATGATATGACGCAGCGCCTTAAATTAGTCCCCAGCTCGGTAACTTCCAACGTGACCGGGACTGAGTTTATGTAGTAAAGTTGCGGCAGTAAAATTTCTTGATTATTACACAGGAATGAGAGTAGAGTTCCTAGCCATATCAGCCTAGAAAATCACAACTTTACATTTTCCGTCGGTCTTAGTGCACAATGTAACTACAGAAATATCGAAACTCTTTGGTCACTTTTTTTGTTGTTGAGAAATGCTAATGCTTGTCCACCTCAATGATGTATGCTCAGCTATGCTAAAATCGGTACCGCTAGAACCGGAGATCGACTGAATGGATTTAAAAACGTTAAAACTGTAAAACGGTAAAATGTTTTGTCATCATGACTTTTGCGTAAACATACACGCCACTTTCAAGTCAAGTGGTGTGTTATCTATATGCATTTTGAGCTATCCGCGTGTATGAGTGTATGTCTACGCCGTTAAATGTCCGAGCGAAACGAAGCAAAATGTAGATCTAGGGAGCGATATTTTTTTCCTAGGATGGCAGGGGAAGACTCATAAATGGTAATAACCCCAGTGACGGGTAGGTTTAGGGACGGGGTTGGGGTAGGTCATGTATTTTATATATACAGTAATGTAACGTTAAGTCAACGGCGTTCATTAACACGCTGATAAGCGATTATGCGTGTTGATAGCACTCCAAAAATGGAAATACACATTGCCATTTCATGAGATCAGTCTGCTGGGGGAGTTGTAAAATAAGCCTATTTCGAAAAAAAAAAAAAAAAAAAAAAGTGGAGTATCCCTTTAAGCTTTGTAGGAAGTATTTTGTAACTTTTACCAAAACTACAGACATCACCTTTAAGACACTGTTCACAAAATGAGTCTGACAGAAATCTTCTCAGCCAGTATCTGTTACCACAGCTCATGCGCCTGCCAAGCTGTCAGTATGTAACCGGAGGAGTGGCGTCTCCTCAGGGAGAGATGTGGGCACGGCCTCTCACCAGAATGATTAAGCTGCAGGTCTGCCCTTTCTCAGAAAGGTCACGGCTCTGATGGGTTCCACTTGTCAGACAGCTGGCACAGGTTGCACTGGCAGTGCTGAGAAAAAGAGACTTATGCCCATCACTAATCCGCGTGTTTACAAAACATCAGCATGTATCACTGCATATCATTCTGCGTCTTAAAAGCTGAATAAATAGCAGTAATGCAGTATTTATCTTTAGTCTCTTCTTATCTGAGCCTACCAGATATATGTTGAAGCTGTTTGTTAAGAGGCTGGTGGTGCTGTAGCTTGGGCAGAGACAACTGGCTGTCAACATAAACCACACACACATTTAAACCGTGTAGTTCATAACCTTTTAATGGCAACCCACCTGATCGAATATTATTATTCACACCTCTTTGTTCCATTTTTGTCCACATTTTTAAAGTAAATAGATTAAATAAATGAATTAGCAAGTCTGATTCATTGATTCTCTCGCGTAAAAAACAAATATCCGTAATGCGTCTGCCATTTAAATTGTCACTGCATAAATTTCAATAGGTAATTAGCTCTTCTGCAATGTAATTATTGCAGACATGTCACGACGCCTACGCAAAAGACAACCAATCCCAATGCATTTGCGTTTTAGGGATCTGGCATACAAACCTATTGTTGCAGTCACGAAATTGATTTTTATTTTATTTTTTTGCTATTCATATGCTTTTAAAGCTGTCTAAATAAAGCTTGTATGTGACTCTAACTAGTCTATTTAGTGTTGCTAGCCAGCAAAGGAAATTCAAGGACAGAAATGCTAAAACATCTAATGCGAGTAGCTTTAATGGGATGAAAAAAAGATTGTTTATTGTTATTCATTTTTTTGATTGCACATCCATTATGATGGATGAGTAATATTTGGCAAATTGAAACAGGCCCATAAAAAAAGCTCATCCAAAAAGAGTTTGGGTCAGCAGTTCGTGTTCACACCACCCATTTGAATATTTTTCCATATATGCGCAAAAATGCAAGAGACAGCAGAGACCTAATGATCACATTTTGGTCAAACTCGCTGGGCTTTTCCAAAATCCATGACGCAAATCCAAATAAAACTTTTGAAAGAAGGAATCTGAGGCTGTTAAAAAGAATTCCCTTCTCTCATCACATTATCACGAAGCTGTAAGACCAGATCACATATAGACTTCCGTGGAAAAACTAAAGCTATCTGAATGAAGAAATGGTAGCACGATATCCTCATATAGTCATAAAGGGATTTATACATATGTATATAAGATCAAATGTTCAGTTTCTCCATTTTACATTATGTCACTATTTTAAATGTATATGATTTCTGTGCATTAATATCGTTTCTTTTTGTTCCTCTAATTTTGCACCCCTTACAAATGGTTGGCAGTTTGGTGAATTGACTGAATGCATAAAGGCCATTTGTCCTATTGAATTCCACCTGCAGTAATATCACCTTGGAGCTAGAGGGAGCTACTGTAACAAATTACATTGATCTCTGTTGGACTCGATCATAAGAGAATTATTAATAAATCACTGGCATTTGTACAGCACTGTAGTGTTAGAGGAAATGTGAATGAAATGAGTCCCATCTGCAGACAGACATAACATCCATACATATATGGATTTAAACAGCAAGATATTAATTTAAATAC